GGTCTGTATCCCAAAGAGATCATAAAAAAGGGAAAAGGACCTATATGTAAAAAATATTTACAGCAGCTCTTTTTGTGGTGGCAAAGAACTGGAAATTGAGGGGATGCTCATCAATTGGGGAATGGCTGAACAAGTTGTGGTATATGAATGTAATAGAACACTATTGTTCCATAAGAAATGGTGAGCAGGTAGACTTCAGAAAAATCTGGAAAGACTTGTATGGACTGATGCTGAGTGAAATGAGCAGAACAAGGAGAATGTTGTACACAGTAACAGCCACACTGTGCAATGACTAACTTTGATAGACTTAGCTCTTCTCAGCAATGCAAGGATCTAAGACATCTCTAAAAGTCTCATGATAGAAAATACCATCCACATCCAGAGAAAGAACTATGGAGTTTAAATGCAGATCGAAGCACACTATTTGCTCTTTTCTTTTTCTTCTGTTTTGTTTTGTTTCTTCTTTCTTGTGGTTCCTCCTATTGGTTCTAATTCTTTTCTACAATATGACTAATGTGAAAGTATGTTTAATAGGAATGTATATGTAGAGCCTATATCAGATTACATGCCGTCTTGGGGAGGGAGGGGGAGAAAATTTAAAACTCAAAAGCTTATGGAAGTGAATGTTGAAAACTAAAAATAAGTTAAAATTAATAAAATTTTAAAAAAAAGAAATGATGAGCAGGCGGACTTCAGAAAAACCTGGAAAGACTTAAATGAACTGATGCTGAGTGAAGTGAACAGAACCAGGAGAACATTGTACATGGTAACAGCAACACTGTGCGATAATCAACTATGATTGAATCAACTCTTCTCAGCAATACAATGATCCAAGAAACAAAAAAAGACTTATGATGGAAAATGCTATCCACATCTTGAGAAAGAACTGAGAGAGTCTGAATGCAGATCAAAGCATACTATTTTCACTTTTAGTGTTTTTTTCCTTTTGTTCTGTTTCTTCTTTCACAACATGATTAATATTGAAATATGTTTAACATGATTGCACATGTATAACCTGTATCAGATTGCTTGCCATCTTGGGGAGGGAGAGAGGGAGGGAAAAAAAATTTGGAATTCAAAATCTTATAAAAAATGAATGTTGAAAATTGTCTTTACCTGTAACTGGAAAAAATAAAATACTATTTACATTTTTAAAAAATGCTTCCTTGCTTCTGGAATATCACATTGTAAGTTCTCCACTCTTTTAAAGTGGTGGCTGCTATAACTGCTGTGATCTCAACTCTGGTGTGGCCCTTGGTACTTTCTTTCCTTCTGGCTTCTTGCAATACTCTCTCTGACCTAGAAGTTCTGGATTTTGGGGTTTCTTTCAGGAATTCTTTCAATTTCTACTTTTAATTTCTATTTTGCCCTCATGTTCCAAGAGATCTAGCAGTTTTCCTTCATGATTTCATGAAATATGTTGTCTAATCCCTGTTTTTTTCAGTCATGGCTTTCAGAAGTCCAGTGATTTGATTCTTAAATTATCTTTCCTCGATCTATTTTCTAGTTCATTCATTTATTTATTTTGCCATGAGATAACTTATATTTTCTTCTGTTTTTTTTCAGTCTTTTGACCTTATTTTAATATTTCTTCATGTCTCATGGCAGCTTTAGTTTCTATTTGGTCCACTTGAATATTCAATAACCTATTTTCTTGGCTAAGGTTTTGTATCTCATTTCAAGTTATTGATTCTCTTTCTGTAACTTTCTTCTGGAGTTCTCACTGCTTTTCTCATTCTTTTCTCTACCACTCTCATTTTATTGTTAAAATAATTTAGTTCTTTTTAAAAACTCTCATTTTAACACTTACAGGAATTCTAGTTGGACTTGTGCTCAAACTTTGCTTATACATATTTTCACATCATTCTCTTTTTTTGGCAGTTTCTGTCCTGCATTTATTTGTTGCCATAATAGCTTGTTATGGTAGGGTTTTTTTTAATTTGTTCATTTATCCAGCCTACTTTTTTATTTTATCTTAGAGCCAGGTTCTATACACATCTGGAAACAATATCTGGGCTGAGCTTCTGTCCTCTTGAGGCCTTCTGCTGTTGTCTTGGAGTACTGATTATTGCATTATTCCAGGACTTCAAGGATAGTTCAGGCAAGGGACCTCCAAATTTTCATACTCCCAATACGATCAATTCTAGGACAAAATCTGCTCACTATCCTGCTGTCTGCACATCAAGTTCCTGACTCAGGTTTGGGTCTGAGCAAGATTTCTTGTCAGCTTGTCCTAAAGTTCTAAGTTTGGAAGTTTCAGTAGACTGCTGCTAGACTCAGTCACTATTAGTTCACTGGGAGGCTCTGCAGGTTCATTGTAACTGAACTGCAGGCTCCCCATTGGTATAGTATTCCTGACCTCATTATTCCACTGCAGGCTTCAGCCTTAGCTAGAGGACAGAACTGAGTCCTTGCTCTGCTTTTCTGATTAAAGCCACACAGCTACTGTTTCCTTCTAAACTTGCTTTTTGTTTGGTACTTATCTAGGGCCCATGACTGTAACTATAATTCTCTGTACTCCTAGGCACAGGACCCTCCCTTATTCTGCCCTGGATCTATGACCCAGAACTAGGTAGTTAAGTGACACAGCTGCCAGATGGCACCAATTCCTGCAACCTGTGCTACTTCAGAGATGCCCCTGGGACTTTTTCCTCCTGCAGGGCCAAGTCTTGGCTCTCTGGATGAGTTCCTGGGTGCTTTAATCCTCCACACAGTATGTTACTGACCAGACTTGTTCCCTAATATCTGCAGACTTCCCTGTTTATCTAAGCCAACCTGGGCTGGAAAAATGGCTCAGGGATTTTTTTCTGGCATCTGCTGATCAGAATTCAGTTTGGTGTATTTTCTAGATGGCTGTCCAGAAGGTATAGTGGGGAGGATGGGCTATACTTCCACTCTATTACTCTGACTCCACCTACTGAGGCACTCTCAATTTAGATTTAAAAAGATATATATGGAAGACGGAAGCCATGATAAACACCCAAAGCATGGCATAATCTTACAAAAATTGCATCATGAGAGCTAAATCTCAGACTAAGGTGAGGCTGGTAAGGAAAGTGAAGGACAATCAAATGGTTTGGGTTTTGGGTTTTTTTAGCTGTAACAGTAAAGTACATTCAAGAAGGAACTGGTTTTGATGGCTATTGGGGTGGGCAGGACAAGTGTAACTAACAACTGAAAACAGGCATAGCTACTTAATTCTTATTTTGCATCTGTTTTTTTTTATTTGTAAGATAACCCCTATATGAGAAATAAGAGGGTAAAAATAGTTAATATGGAGATGATCCTCAGGATGATAAAGGAGATAGCTGCCTCTGACGAATTCTAGGAACCTTGCCCAGATGAATTACATCCTCAGAGAATAAAAGAACTGGTGGATGTGATTACTGAATTGTCAATGATATTGAAAGATTATGGCAAACAGGTAAGGTATCAGAGGGCTAGAGACAGGCAAATATTCTTCTTACTTTCATAAAAGAGATGAGAATTGTGGGGCAGTGAGTTTGATTTCATTCCTGGGAAAATTCTTGCATATATTAAGAGGATTAGTGAACATCCAGAAAAGGAAGAAAAGGATTCATAAAAGCCAGCATGCATTCATCAAGAAAAGGTCATGTAACATTAATCTTATTTACTTCTTGAAAGGTTATAAACTTGGCAGCTCAAGGGGAATACTATGGATTTAGTTTACCAAAATTTTAGAGAAGTTGCTTGATCAAGCATCTCAAGTTATTCTTGTGGAAAAGATGAAGAAGTGTGGGTTATATTACAAGTAGGATAGGTTCAGAATTGGTTGAATGGATGGACTCAAAACAGCAGTCATTAACATTTCCATTTCACTTGGAAGGAGATCTCTAGTGAAGTTCCCCAGAGACCTCTACTAGCTTTATGCTGTTTAACATTATAATCAATGACTTAGTATCTTTGTCAAACCTGCAGACAACACAAAGTCAGGATGGGTAGTCAACATACTGGATAACCTAGTCAGGATCACAAAGGATCTGAACAGGCTAGAGTACTATGCTGAATCTAGTGAGGTAAAGTTGTATATGGATAAATGTAAAGTTTTATCCTTGGGTTTAAGAAATCAATTTCACAAGTATAAGATAGGGGAGGTATGGTTAGCCAGTAATTTGTCTGAGTGAACTTCATGCTCAGCAGGACTCAACAGTGAAAATGGCAGTTATAAAAGCTAAAACATTCTGCATTGAGAGTCAAAGCTTCCAAAAACAAGAAGATGACAGCTGTACTGTGCCTTGGCTTGAGAACATCCAGAAAATTGTGTTCTGAGCATCACGTTTTAAGAGAGGCATTGATAAGCTGCAAAGCATCCATCAGAGAATGGTAAAGAGCTTTGAGTCCCTGCCACATGAGGATCAGGTAAGTAACTGGGATGTTTAGCCATGATAGCTTTCTTAAGTACCTAAAAGATAGTCATATGGAAAAAGGATAAAATATGTTCTATTTGGACCCAGAAGACAGAACTAGGATTAATGGTTAAAAGTTGCAAAGAAGGAAATTTAAATTTGATATAAGACTAAAATGCCTAACCATTAGAGATATTAAAAATAGGATGGCTTGCTTCAGGAGGTTATAGGTTCCCTTTCAATGGAGATCTTCCAGCAAAGGTGGTATGTCTACTTGTAAGGTATAATGTAGTGAAGTCTTTTTTCAGGTATGGGTTGGACTAGATGGTTTCCTTTAATTCAGAAATTCTCTGAAAATCAGCATATTACAGAATCATAGAAACCACGAGAAGAATGAGGTTCAAAAAGGAAGGGGTGATTTATAACAATGAAATAGGTCACTTGGAACCTAAACTGTCCTTGCCCTGAGGGAACTTACAATCCATTTTGAAGAAAAGACAGAAAATATCAAGTTTACTTTGTTTATAAACAAAATATTTCAAACAGAATCTACAGGTACAGAGAAAAAGTACACTTTGACAATAATGTCATCAGGATTCTCCCTGGATTTAGGTTAGGAAGGTTTTCACCTACCTGACAATTCCGTAGACGATGAGCCCATGTAGGTGTATGTGGAAGAAGTGGTTGCAGAGGGACAGGAAAAGGGTCGTCAGCTATTCTGAAAGGACAACATACGTATCAATGACAAGGATAAAAACATTTAAAATACTTGGCATTGCTTTGCTAGAGTCAGAGTCCTAAACACTAAGACAACAGATGAAGTTTTATAAATCATTGTTAAAAATACACTGTATAAAGGAATTTTACAGGTTGCCTACAGGGTTTTTTTTGAGTGATTGTATATAATTGATGTAAAGTTACACATTTTAAGTTTGCTAACATCTTCATCTCCCTAAATATTGAGTTTGACAAAATATTCTTTTTTAATACAACCTGCAGTCATTGCAAAATCAGCTATATTACATATTTGGTTCCTTCACTTATTATTTAGTGCAAATCAGTTAACGAAACCTTTTTATTTGATTTCACGAGTATTAAGAGAATTCTATCTAATTCTTCAAATCAGTGTTATTTTGGTAGTAAGGGTAGAAACAAGTATGATTTTCTTAACCAGAAAACTGTTTGAGAAGACAAAAACAAAACAAAAAGATATAAAGTATAAAAGTCATATCATAGAGTAACATGAGCAATGGCATTTTAAGGTAAGAAATTAGTAACTTTTCTTTCTGAACGCTTATTAGCAATCAATTCTTTTTATATTTCCTCAACAGAAAATAGCCAGGTGGCAATAATGAAAAAAGAAGCATTGGGCACCTGCACCTTCTGAAACAGTCTTATGTTTCCAGCATACCTTTAAATTAAATCAAGACTTACATATTTAATAATGAATGATTTACTAAACTTTTCTATATTAGGTCATCTTAGAAAACAAATAATTTGGAAAAGATGTCCGTGGTGCTAGATGAGTTCTTCTTTCCCTATTGACCTACCTAGTTGCTGTCTTTTTAGGCAAGGAGAGGGATGCTTGTGGATGAAGAATATAACTACTGGTATTGTCTGCTATAGCAGCCACTGCTACAGTCTGTAAGTGTCCATCAGTGGTATTCTCTTCTGAAATATCTTAATAACAACAACACAAAATAATCTTGTTTAATAACATCAAAGGAATGTAGATAACTGTAATTTTTCTCTCTTTTGGAAAAGCAAGAATTGTAGCTAAGATAAAGGTGGCAAAACTAAAAATACTTCATCGAGAATTTTATAAAACAATTTGTTTTTAAAAGTTATAATACTATCACTTTGTATTTATGTTTTAGGTTCAAATTGAGAAACCAAGACATGAACAAAGAAAAAGCAGAAATAGTTGTGGCAACTATCATTTCACAGTGTCATAATAATACTTAAAGTACACATTTTTTGTACATGTCTTCATAATGTCTTACTTTTAAAAAGTTCCCTTCATAAAGTATGTTGCGATTGCTAACCTAGATCACGAATTAGCAGAAATGTCATCATAATGCTACCCTACCATAAAATATTATTAAAGTAGCAAAGAAGTAGAGCTACAATGCTACAAGACAAGGGGATAAAGAAGTAGGAAAACATGAAGTTAGGAGGGAAAGAAAAAATGCTTATTAATTGAAAAAAGTTTAATTAAAAACATTAGTGAAAACAAGAAACATCACTATGAGTGATCTAAAATGGAGAACTGAGAAAGTGCAAAGGAAGTGCAGAATAAAAAGGGGAAAAGCATAAAGCCCCCTTTCAGCAACTAGAGGATAATGGAGGGTAGAAAGTGCCAGGAGCAGAGAGAAAACAAGAATAGTGGGGAGAAAAAAGGTATGAGTATACAAGTATCTATCCAGAAACAAATGCAACACTCCTCCAGTAGCTGTTAGCTCTATGTCTTGTTATTAGCATTATTATTAATATTACTACTGTTATTATTAAAAAGAATTTATTTTATGCTCACTGGTCCTTTGGGGAGGAAGCAGGAGTCAACCAGCTTCACAGAATTCCAAACTGAAATAGACAGCTAACCTAGACAGGGGTTGGAAAATGAACTTGAAATTTATTTGGGCCAAGCATCTTTATCTAGTTAATTTTCACAATCCTACCTGAAGAAATCAATTTTAACATTGACTTCACTGAGATGATTTTCTGAAATACATGATTGATCATAAAAAACACCCTCAACTGCCCCAAACAGTATTCATGTTACTCACCCTGAGGACTGGTCACATCTAGGAGCTGCCCCTGAGGAATAATAACTTGTGCCATTCCTGTCTGAGTGGATGGGATTACATGAAGCACCTGTCCATTTTCTGATGGACTAGTAACAATCATCTTGAAAATATGAAAGAAAAAAAATCAATGTATATTCCTATACTTGTTTAATAAAATTATCTTTTTATCAGTCACTTGTATTCTACCTATACAAGATCTTTCATGTGCCCCCTCTGCATCACACATACTACCTACTACCTTAGTTCTGGGTGCCAATATTTCTAATCTCATCTGCACTATTATAACAGCATCCAATGTCTCCTCCAATCGTTCCACAGCTAGAAGTCTTCCTAAACCAAAATCTGATTATACCCCTCCCCTGCTCAAAATCCCCAAGGGCTCCCCACTGTCTATAGCAGAGGTTCTTAACTTTTTTGAGTGTGTCACAGACCTCCAGCAGTCTGGTGAAATATATGCACCCCTTCTTAAAATAATCTTTTTAAAAGCATAAAATACATAGGGCTGAATTATGTAAACTTATTATTTTAACATTTTGACAATTACATAAAATAATTGTCAAAATATTAAAATAACAAGCTTACATAATCCAGGTTAAGAATTCTCAGTTTAAAGAATAAAACACAAACTTCACAACCTGATACTTGTGGTCCTCCACCATTTGCTTCTAACATACCTTTCCAGATTTACTTCATTTTACTCCACTTCAATGTCCCAGCCAAACTGAATTAGTACCTGCTACTCCATTTCACCCTGCTCTTTCACCTTGTTATACATACTCCATTCCTAGAGCACATTCCCTCATGTCTGCTTGTTTAAATTACTCCCACAGGCCCGGCGTGGGCCACCGCCTCCATAAAACCATCTCTGATTTTTTGATGCAATTTAATTCTCCCTCCCATTTTTTACAGCACTTTGTCTAGACCCATGTCCTATCTTATAGCACACTTATTTGTCTAAGTCAGATACTTCACATTAGAGCATAAGATCTTTGAAAACAGAAACTGTCATCTTTGGCTACTTAGCATAACAGTTTGTACACAGAAGGCACTTGATGAGTTTAGTTGAATCTCTTTAATGTATTTATTATGCATGAAATTTCCTCCACTAAAATCTTAATTCATTGCCTAATTTTGGTATATGGTATTTTTTAAAGGTAATCAGAAAAATTCAAGTTTTGACAGGTCCTACCAAGCAGAAAAGGCTTTGAGTATAGATCTACTAATCAACTGTGTACCTGTTGTCTAAGGATGAGTTTAGCAAACTTTGGAGAGGCTCCTCAACAGATTGGCCACTGGATGATACATTTTTCAGCCACAGAAATTCTTCAATATCATTTACTAACAGTGAAGTCAATGTTAAAATTGATTTCTTCAGGTAGGATTGTGAAAAGTAACTAGATAAAGATGCTTGGCCCAAATAAATTTCAATACCATTTACTCTCTGCATTGGAAAAGGGAATATCTACGCCAATGAAATTGTAGATTTTTAAAGTACTTAATCATATGGGACCTAATTATTTTAAAAAATCTAAACAAATAATTTGGCCAAAGATAAAATTTTTAATGCTCTTTGAGTTATGACATACTTTTGCCCTATCTGACAAGTGTGGTTATGCAGTTACTTGTCTGACACTCTTAATATGGCTTAATTGCTATTACCCAAGAGTCGTTACTTTCATATCCTTCCTTTCCCAGTAGGTCTCTTTTTTGCATCCCTGCCTCTAGGTGGCAGGAGATACTATGTAAATTGCAAATAACCCACTAGTCATTGCTCCTACTTGTTTTCATGGACTTCCCTTTGTAAATAGCAGAGCAATACGTAAACACTGCAGATACTCCACACTTTGAAAAGTTCTTCTAATATTGGTATTTCTGACTTGATGAGGGGTAGGGGAGAGGCAATGGAAATGGAATAATACAGTTATAAATATTTCACAGACAGAATTTAAGCCTAATAATTTTCTTAGATAAACCTGGACAGCATGGCATGGCGACAAAGTCCTGGATTGGGAATTAGTGGACCTGGGCTCAAGTTTGAGCTCTGTTACTGTGTGATTTCAAGCAAGTTGTCTTAATTTCTCTGAACCTCTAGTTCCTCATATATAAAATGAGGATCATATTTGTATATTATACATCAGGATTGTCATGACAATCCAAAATATCAAGGTGAGTTATTGTTATTGATCTCATTGTTACTACTACTACAGGTCTATTTACCCTCGCTACTGTAATACAGCCAGTATGGCAAGTTTTGATGCTGTCACTTACATAAAATAAACACTGCTGGTCACTGACAAGGAACAAAGAATGGCATAACCATCTGCATCTGGAGTCAGGAAGATGTGAATTGAATCCTGATCTCAGACCCTTATTAGCTGTGTGACCCTAGGCAAATCACTGTCTGCTTCAGTTCTCTCATTTGTAAAATGGAAATAATAGCACCTATCTTCCAGGGCTGTTGTGAGGACAAAACGAGCTATCTGTGAAGTGCTTTGCAAAGCCGCAGATACTATCTGAATGCTAGCTAGCATTGTTATCTCTTTTACTCCTTCTTAGCAATACTTTGCAAGTATCAAATAACATACATGATTTCTTCTATATTAGACAATAAGAACGTTGAGACTTCTCCTAAATCTGATATAACAAACAATGAAAGATTATACGAGAGAGAGAGGTTATGGATAATGATTTAAGAGCCTGATCTTTCCCACACTCGGAAGCACTGCCCAAGTAGAGAAACAAGTTTCCTCTGCACTTATTCCCTTTACTTTTACTTACTACCTAACCTTGGAAAAGTAATTTGATCTCTCTGAGCATTTTTTTCTTCATCTGTAAAATGAGAAGGCTGCCTACACGCTTTCTAAATTTTCTTCCAGATCTAAATCTATGACACTATGATTCTTAGCTCTAAATCCTATGACCCTAAACAACAGAACCTATGCCATAAACTCACTGGGAATACAATAAATAATTTTTGACTACAGTGATACAGTTCTACAAATTTAGCTGGCTAGCACAACTATTTTACTACGAAAGTCAATACAATTCTTGCCCTTGTTATTTAGAGACAATGTGAGGTATTGGGATGAGTACTGAATTTCAAATCAGAGGAAGGACCACTGCCACTTACCACCTGTGTTTGGGGTTTTTGGAGGAAGTTTAACGATTAGCCCATGCCATTTAGGATGACTGGCCTTAGCTTTTTGCTTTTCATTATCCTCGGCCTCCACCCCTCCCCCCCGCCCCTGCTTTTTCCTCGAAAAGCTACACAGAAGGCAAAGTATCACTTCTGTTACAAGTTCAAGTTGCCCAGCTCCTTGGCCCAGTAATTCTGGGCAAGTTACTCCCTTCTCTGGGTCTGTAACATGATGGGGCTGGACTAGATGACAGTACAAGGTCTCTTCCAGTTCTAAACCTACGATCCTATGCATCATTCTACTTGGGACAAACCAAGGGACTAAACCATGAGTTAACCTATAGTCTTCAATTTAGTGGTCTTGTCCTATTCCAATCTGTGGCCTTACTGATATATGTACTTCCTTTAGCAATGGAGAGCATAACCTATCCATGCCTGCTCACCCTCATGTAGGTTTTCCATAGGGTGTCTACTCAAAGTGCTGGGGGCCTTCCTCATATTATTTTTCAAACATGAGCTGTCAATTATCCCTTACTTTTACTACATGACCGGTTCATCTTTTTTGAAAACACATTTCTTTAGAGACATACCCTATATAATTCTTCCCAATTGCTTGTTCATAATGTGTTACCACCTATTCATGCCCTCCATGTGCCTCCCTATTGCTCGTGGGATCCTTAATCTCACTTCTTTAGAGACTGTAATATTTTTTGACTCACAGTCCCATATCACTGCTGGGAGAACAGTGATCTTAACAAAATGGGTCTCTGCTTTTGGGAGAAGTTTTTGGTCATTGAAATAATTTTGCAATATCCCAAAGACAACTCAATTCTTCTCTCTTCCTCCTATTCAATTCTCAGCTCAGCTCACGGTTCACTTTCAGTCTCTCCAAGACCTACCAACACACATATTATCTGGGTCAATAATGTTCTCATGGTGCCTTTGTGGTGGGTAGGCAATAAAGTTGGATTTTTTCCCATGCTTTTTATATCTTCTTCAAGTGACTTGTAAAACAATCCTGTAATGCCTTCAAAATTCTGTCACCTTCAGTGCAGACTTCCTCTGAGCACATCTCCTTTCTTTAATGCTATTTCAACTTCAGCTGGGACTGCGATGTTAAACAGTCAAATTAAATTACTGCCTGATGGCAAAATGAGTTTACTATTAAAAATCTTTACATATCTTTTTAACCTTTCATTTGTTATACTCTCCTTCCAATTTCATTCTTAACTGACTTCACAATAGCTTTGTTTAGTTGACTATCTTGCCAAGCTTTCTTTATGTTTTTTTTTCCTACTACTTCTGTGCAGATAAGGCAATACTGTTCATAATCTCCAACTCATCCTCTGTAAAATTTTCTAAATAAGTTTGTATTATAGACAAGTGTTTGCTTTAGTTAACTGTGCTTGACCAGTAGATCAAACGTTTGCTGACTAAGGCAGTTTTTAGATTGTCTCCCTGCTTTGGCAGCTAGTTTACATGTTAAATTTCTATATAAAATTGTTACAATAAGTGTAGAGGTCCTTCCTTCTATTGATTTCCTTTTTTTGTGGTGTTAAAAAGTCACTATTTCCCATGTCTTCCACTCTTCTTGAGAGTATTGGTGATATACAGGCATTATACTTCTGTGTAGTCTCTAAGTCTTTGGCCTCTCATCCTTCCTCCCGAACCATATTTTCCAACGATTTTTTGGTGACATCATCTATTCCAACCTTTGTACTTATGTCATTGAGTGTAATGCAAACATATGCTTATTTATTTGTAAAATTTAAGTTCTTTGTAAAATTTCTCTACCTCCTCATTCTCTGCAACAGATATTGGTGCAAAAGCTGCAATTTTCATGGTGGTCTTTCTGAAAATACTTATCATGAATCCTATAATTTGAAATGACACAGTCCATGAAATATTTCTTAACGCCTTTGTGAATGAAGCTCCACATCATGTGGCTTACCTCCACACCATGATAGCACTGTTAACACAGACCTATGCTAAACCTTTTCCTATCACTGATTCATCCCTATCAAAATCCTCCAATAATTCCCGGTAGGCTAACACACACACACACACACACACACACACACACACCCCTATATGAATATATGTATATACACACACACACACACACATATAAATTATACATTCCTTTTAAAGTTTTTCACTTTTTCTTCTCATGAGCATTGCCTCTGAACTTTAATAATCTTAAGAATTATGGTTATAGAGCTGGAGGGAATGAAAGAGGAGGTCTAGTCCAACCTCAGGCTTAGAGAAGTTAAGTTACTTGCCCAAATTTGTAAAGGTAGTAAAGAAAGTCAGGAATCAATACCAGGTCCTCTGACTCTGAAACCAGAGCTTTTAAGATAATATACAGTTGTTCATTTTATTCTTTCTCCTACTTATTTCCAACCTTTCTTCCATATTCTTCACATTCCACATGAAACAATTCTTTAAGCCACTGGATCATAAGGTCTATTAAAGAGGGACTGTGTTTTCTTCAATTTTCTAGCTTTCTCAGCACTTGCTACAATACAATGCACACAGAAGGCACTTAAAAAATGTTTGTGGAATTAATAAAGTCCTTCCTTCATGTTTATCAGCCCATCATCTTATTAGCTGCCAGCTACAGTTTGAAATGTCTAAACCCATTTGCTATAGGAATTCTAATAGCAATTATTGAGTTGGGAGGTATAACTGCTTATTCCAAGGAAAACTAACGAAAAGTGCTCCTTTCAATGATAGTCTATCACTATTATTTTTAATTTTGTAGTTGATGAAACTTGCCTTACTAACAGAAATAGCTTCTGGTACATCCTAGTTTTGAACAAATATCAATTGATGAAAAGTGTAACATAATGCAATATTTACTAACAGAACTCCCTGGGTAAGTAACTTCCTCCCCCGGGTCCATTTCATCATTTCATCACCTATAAAACAAGGGTGGGAGATGAATGATCTCCAAGGTCCCTCTGAGCTTTAAATCCTGTGGTCCTAAAAAACTGAAATTTAATCGGAGAATATATTTAATATCAGCTCCATACTGTCATTTATTGGTAATTAGTATTTAACCTCATCCCTACTATCCTTTGTTGGAAAGGTTAAGATCTGAAAGGCAAGGCTGTTTACCTTACAATTTATCACACTTTGTGAAACATCATGAGTCCTGGATTGTTTTCAGATATACTCACCATCTGTGTATTATAATCCCCTACTGACTGAAGCTCATACTGAATAGGATGCCCATTTTGGTCAACTAGATGGAACTGCTCTGTGGAAAGAGACTGTGGCTGTGACAGCTGGACTGGTACATGCTGTGATGGGGGTGAATTATCTGCTACACCAACTGTGATGGGCAAAACTGCAGAAGAATCATTTTGTCCAAAGGAAGGATCCCTGGAATCCATGCAGGTTAGATGCTTTTGCATAGGAAAAACAAAATACCACTTCAATCCTCCTGAAATATACTGTTTCACAAAAATCCCATACCAACCCAACAACAAATAAATCAATTTCAAACACACTGTATTTTATTATGCAATTGTCACTTTATCTTTCTCAAAAGGTACATTAAGGTAATGATTTTGATATGTTGTACTGTGAAAGGCAGGTGCCTAAGTCTATGAGAAAAGATATACAGGTATAGTTGTGAGTTTACTATATTGTAATCCCATTCATCAGATAACATAACTACTTCATTTAATAAATTTGTTAACTCCTGCCTCCTCAGTAATTTTACATATCTTCTCCTATTCAGTTAAGAACAACATGCTCATTTTTAAAGATCTCGGCTTCTCCAAAGTGCTAAAAAAGAGTGTGTGAACAGAGAGCTACATGTTGTACTCCTACAGAATTTTCTGTCCTACACACTCTCTTCAGTTAAGCCATCATTTTTATTAAGATTGAGTACTGCATGAAACATAAAAATAACCCTAGCTAGCTTACATTCAGTTTATAAATAATTTGATCAAAAGATTGTCACTATTTCTCCATGCAATTTAAATACTTTAATGCATAATTTTATGTAATTTTCATTTCTATTGATCATAATTTAGAGCTATAAGGGACCTTAAGTTTCATCCAGTCCAGCCCTTTTACTTTTATATGTGAGAAACTGATCACAAGTAATCAAGCAGCAGACCTAGGATTCCAACCCAGGGCCTGTGACTTGAAATCAAGCATTCTTTTCACTGTCTCCCTTAATATCATCTCTCTAACTTTAATAATTAAATTCAGTGAGTTTTCCAGGAAATACCTTATGAAGGTATATAACATTTTTATGCTGTTATTGCTGAATAAATGAAATATAACTTATTTCTTAGGCAAGTAAAGTCACTATATATATAGCAGGCTATTTTCCCCTCAGAATGAAAATAAGCTGCAAAGAAAGTGATTTTTCAGTCTAACTCCCACCTGAAACACCTGAGCATCTCTTTCTGACTCTTCGGTGTTATTACAGTTGACTACTAATAAATCATGAGATTGTTCCATCTTGGCATCATGGCCAGTTCCATTTTCTTCCATTAAAAGACAGCTGAAAGAGTCCAAATCAAAGTAAATTAAAGTATTTTAAATGACTTTTTAAAAAATACTTAACCTCCCCACCCACAACTCTAAATTAGTAACACTGTTTCCATTTCACAGGAAATTTAAGATTTGATTGAATAATTTGTCCACACCAACTGAATACTCAAGGGCAAATGTTAGTACTGTGTAATTCCTACATCCTTAGGTCACAATTACCCTGGCTTTCAAGGATGCTAAGGAAAGAAATTTACAATACATTATTTTTTTCCAAACCATTTTTTTCTTTTTTTCATTTTATAGATTGTTGAGTCTAGAATAAAGAAAGTGGCTTTACTTTGCATTTAGGCAAGGCCTAACCTTAACCTTTCATTAATATAAATTGTAAATAATTCACCATATGGAACAGAGCATCATCACAGAACTCACACTATCGATTAAAAGCACACAGAAAGAAGCCAAATAAAAGACAAATAATTGCTATCAGGACAATCAACTCATGACTAAGTGATCTTATGTGCTAAAGTGACACCTGGTACTCCAGACCTTAAAGAATAAAGTTCATGTCTTTAAATTTGGACTATATCAAACAGAAACTGGTAGAAGTTCATTCTTAAAACAACTGCTCAAATGTTTCTTCAGATAAGATGTCTTTAAAAGTAGCAGTCAAATAGTAACTCTTCTGCTCTTTGCCAAGAAAACATACCCCAAAACAAAAATATCTAAGATGTTACATGGAAAATTAAGACAATGCTGTTTTCAGCATGTATATATAAACTTTTAATTTTATTAGGTAAATTAAAGCCCTAGGACTAGAAACTATGTACTTTGTAAAATGCTTCAGGTTTACCTTTACCTTTTCCATAAATATCTCCTTTGAAACACAACACAAGGTTTTATTATACATCACAGAAGATGCATAATTTTTGTTCAATTAATAAAAATCTATCAAATACTGCATAAAGCAGAATCTATGATGGTACCTATTTTTATTTTCCTTGATCTTAAACTTTACATAGACATTCAGTATATCCTAAATCCTACATATTTCATGAACAAACAAAAAAATACAAAGGCAATGGGCTAAAAAAATTTCTGAGAGATACCCATAAAATTATTTACACAGAGCTCCATACAGATGCTTATTTTTTTTTAAGTCTTGCAAAATTGATAGAACTAAAGTGTCCTTTGGAGTTCAGTAAAGAACAGAAGTAAGATGAAAGAGAAAGGAGACTCCAACATGATGAATTTCCAAGGAGAAATCAACTTTAATGAAAGAGGACCATTAATTCTGCTTGCTTAAATTCATATCAACATTTGAGAACTACATTTGGAACAATCAAGTTCCACGGTGAAAAGATTAACCAAAAATGTAAAACTTTTAGTTATGCCATTTGCTAAAATGAAACCATTATCATCATAAATTCAGCAATTTTAAAACAAATTTCATTCTCAAGAATAAAGATATATTGGAAATTTTCATATAAAAATTCCTGAGGTCAAGACAAAGAACTACTACTTCAAACATTTTATTTTGATTTTCAAAAAATATGTACACTATGAGATATGAACTAAGATTTTATATTTTATTGGTATAGTGACACTAATTGTAAAAGTTCATTACACAAAGAGAATATTATTTTTTCCCCTTCATCTACAATATCTGGAACTTTCTCAAAAAAGAACAGAATGATCCTTCCTGGGAAAATTCCTATACAAACCATAATAATCTAATAAATGAAGTTACTGCAGGACACAATTCTATCAGATTTCATTTAAACAATATTATCTAAATATTTTTGTTGGAGTATAATTTTGAAATTCCTTTTCCTTCTCCTTAAAGATAATTAGAAAAAAAATTCAAAAACCTTGATCCAAAAAGGTTTCAAAAGATAGAGGAAAAGGAATTTTTACAAATATTGCTGTTTCTTCACTACTTAAAACCAGAGACTTCTTTAGCTATCTAAACAAGTAGTTTTATAAAGTTTTCTTTCAACTGAAATATTTAGGAATAAAGATTAGCATTGATCAATAGACACATTAAAACTGGTCAAAGTGGTCTTCCTTAGATAGGCAGAAATACAAATATTCCTTGGGGGGAAAAAAGGAAATTCACTTTTAAGCAAGTAAACTGAAGGCATTGCTGGTTCTTTAAGTCTTAGGACTCTTTTACACTGAAATTTTTGTATGGCTAGTTTTTATAAATTCCATACGTTCCCTTTGTCAACACAGTGCTACCAGTGATTAGGAGAACACTTTATAGTTTTTGGAGAATTGGTATGTTCAGGAGGGAAAAGCTCTTTGAAAAGCAGCTGCAGCTTAGAGTAGCTGATCCCAGGAGGGCAGACTCTCAAAGTAACCATATCTAGGTTACTAGGTGTTCTTCTCCTTACCCCACAAAATCACTCAGCTAGAACTTTTTTATTATTCATTTATAGATTTATGTCAACAAATACACTTTCAAAATTCAATTCTGGTAAGGTTAAAAGTGGTCATCAATCATTCATACTTCGATAAAACTAATTTTTCCTTATATATCTAACTGGTATTAGCTATACTGTAGGAAGAGAAACTGAAAGCAGTCTGAGAAAAAGACACTGTACCCAGGAGCCTCAGACAGTCTTAGGAAGCAATGGGTCTTCAAGTAAAGATTGGAAAACTACCTATCATTCAAGATATTCTTGCTCAAGTTGGATTATATGGGCTCCTAAGTCCCTTTCAGATGAGATCCTAAGTCTACAGAGGACACTAGGTGAGAGAAGGGTTCAGAAAAAGAAGTGGAAGGATTCCAAATGCAAATTTCACTTATTTAAAAAATTCATATGGGGCTAGGCCTGTGGCACTAGAAATAAGAAGGAAAAAAACCTCTTCTTTGTTCTCCTCTCTGCTTTTATACCATACAACATTTAAGATGCAGATCTCAAGCCAGTATCATAAGTACTATGGTGAAGCTACATTATGGGTTGCTGCTTTTATGATCAGGATAGGCAATCTAAATAGTAGTTATAATATTAGTTCAAACAGTCTTAAAAATTAAGTTTTGGAATACAGCTGATCACTGTAGTAGAAAGAGTAATGAACTTAATACTTAATCAAAGAACTTTTTGGGAAGAGCAGCGTACCTGAAAAGAGATCTGCAGCTTTTGGACTTCAAGATTAACGAATCGACCACATGATTTGACCGCCACCAAAAAAAAAAAAAAAAAAAGCTAATATCTTAGACTGCATTAAGAGGATGTCTACCTTTTAGATATAAGGTGGAGGTCCCACTGTATGGTGCTCTGGTCAGATTGATCATAGCAGTCTGTTCTCAATACTACATTTTATGAAGTATACAGAAAATGGCAGCTAGGATGGTTAAGTAACTTGAGTTCACACCATATGAAGTCACATGGCAATTAAGTGGGATTCAAGAAAATGGTTCAAGGAACTGGGGTTGCTAAGGAGAGATGTTAATAGCCTTCAAATCTTTGAAAGGCTGTTATATGGAAGAAGGGATTACCAGGGGTGGGGAAGCTGTGGCTTTCTAAGTCCTCGGTGGGGCCTTTTGACTGAGTCCAAGTTTTAAGAATAAATCCTCTTATTAAGAGTATCCAAACTTTTTGGATTCAAAAGGTTACACTTGAGGACCTAAAGGGCCACATATGGCCTAGAGGCCGCAGGTTCCCCATCCCTGTATAAGACATCTTGTTTGGCCACACAGGGTATAATTTGGACCAACAGTAGTAACGGGAGGGGCAAATTATGAATTGCTGCAAAACCAAGCTTCCCAACAACTATTCAAAGTGGAATAGGTGGTCCAAGGATATAGGATATTACTCCTTATAGAAAGTCTGCCCATAAAGGTTGTATAGTCACTTGTCAGGTATTAGTTATATTAGATGGCTTCTCAGTTTCCTTCCAACTCTGAAATTCTCAGATGCTCAGTGATTCTCTATGATCTTGGGGAAACACCTTAACCTCTCAGTCTGTTTTCTCACCTTTAAAATGATAAAACTTTCACCTACCTATTGGAGTTGCTGTAAACAAAGCACTTTGTAAATTGTAAGAGGATACAGAATTGTGAGGGCAGCTAGGCAGTGTAGTACATAAGAGCGTTGGGTCTGGAATCAGAAAAACCTGAGTTCAAATCTGGCCTCAGATTCTTATTAGCTGTGTAACCCTGGGCAAGTCACTTAACCCTGTTGCCTCAATTTCCTCATCAAATGGCAAAGCACCCTGGTATCTTTGCCAAGAGAATCTCAAAAATGGGGTCATAAAGAGTCAAATACAACTGAACAATAACAACAGAGATGTGAGATATTACAAATCTTCTAGGTAATACTAATAAAAATTGACACTGATACAGCACTTTAGTTTGCAAAGGGTCTTCTTACAGGATTTCATTTGAGTCTCACAAACATCCCTGTGAGATTCATACCACTATCCTATTTTACAGATGAAGATACAAGTTCAGAGAAAGAGGTTATCCTTCTCATTTTATAGATGAACAAATGTGGGCTTAGAAATGATTTACCCCAGGTCACACAAATAGCAAATAGAAGAAACAGGACTTGAACCTAAGTTCTCTGACTCCGAGTGTGATTTTCTTTTCATTATGCCACAATGTCCCAGAGGTCACAAGCTAGTACATACTGGAAGTGAGATTCAAATGCAGGTCATACTGACCTCAATGTCAACATTCTTTCTATTACTCCATGTAAGTTGAGGACTGCCTGAATGTTTTTAAGTGACAGAAAAAGATTCCCTGACACACTATCTTCTAGATAATTTTGCATGCAAAATAAATAAAAAAAACCTTTCCTTTCTTCTCTTTAATACAATCCTGCATTTTTTTTTTTAAACTGGATCTGTGATTTCATTGGGCTAGGAAGTTCCTGGCGAGGAAATTACTGCATTACTAACTTTAATTGATATATCACTTCTGGGTAATCTTAAACACCTCATTTTATCATGCCAAGTTATTTAAATATTATAAAATATTACTTACCACACACAATAGTTCCATGTCAAGGCATAGTTACTTAAGGACCAGCATGTTACGTATCATGTCCATCCATAAATGAAATCTTCTTCCCCAACTGGTTACCATAAACAGAACAATATTCTAAGACAAGGTATAGTTTTGACTTTTTAAGCATGTGAAATGGTAAAAATCATTATTCACGAGCTGTATTATTATCCACTATTACATTTCCAAAATGTAAATACAAAAATTATCTCCATGCAGCAACTAAGTTAAATTGGAGACCATTAAGCAGCCACAAATGTACTTGTCAAGAATTGTGGGAAAGCTTACCTACAAGAACCCTGAGTACTAAAGCTTAATAGGTGCTACACCTACATTTATGCCATGGTTATATTTATGCCTTTAGAAAAAACCTGTGCACAACAAAATAAGCAATTTAAAATATTTTTTCTTCCAGTACACAAATGGTAGAAAACAATAACTAACAGACTAGCCTAACACTAGCAGATAAAACTTCCAGAGGAAATCTGGTAAGAGCTTAGCTTTCAGCAATACAACAAAACCAGGAATATATAAAAGGTGAAAATAACTTGAAATTATTTTGTTAGTTTCCACAGTGGAAGGAAGTGAGACAGGATGAGAATACACCCTAGCAATTATAGCATCTTTCTAGCACATTTCTAAAAAGTATTTTTTAAGAAACTCCATACAACAACCCTGTTAAATAAGTATAGTCAGAAGTAGGCAGACTATAGCCTTGAATGATTTGTTCAAAATTACCTCAAGAACCAGTGATATACAAAAACAAAATCCATTAACACCTATATCCCAGATAATAAGCTCATGAATTTAGAATATTTCAGTGGAAGGGTTTATTTTCTTCCCTTGTTAAAAATATGGGCTGTGGAAAGTTGCAAAAATATTTTCTAAATAGCCTGAAATTGCACAATAGTATCAGAATAGTAATAACCAAGTAAGAATAAATTCTTGTCCTCAAAATTTAATCACATCTAAATTTTGATCACCTAAGTATTGGTCTGCCCACGGTACACCCTCTCCTTAGTTGTCCTGCAGTCCTAATTTTCCATTCTACCCTTTCCCTCTGAGTATGCATATACACATAGTTCTATGCTCTCATATCCCTTCAGCGCAGAGGATGTAGGGGTAACGGGTTATCATATTAGCAAAAAACAACAAATTAGATAATTTCTAAGGTCTCTTCCAACACTAATGAGTTATAATAAACTATGTAACCTGTATTATAATCCTTTTAATCACCTTAAACCACCTGACCCTCTGCAATTTCCTAAATGAGTACTACTAGCATAAGTTACTAGGATACGAAATATCCTATTTTGATGCATTGTATTAGCTCCCATTTTAAACAAATCAATTAAAAAATGGATGTGATGTTCAATGTCTTTAAGGCACAAGCACTGCAATAAATGAATGGTTTTCATGCTTGATAATGTTTACAAAGACAGAACACAATATATGAGGTAACCAGTTGTGCCTGTTGTCTCAACTTGACAGAATATGATGCATATTTCATGTTTAAGGATATTGAACAATATCAATACTAATTTTCTTCTGTAAGCAACAATTCAACTCAGCTGAACTTTAAACAAAGGTCAATCTAGCAACTGAGGAGCGGTTTCCTGTAAAGGATGTAAGGATGGATAGAGAATCAGAAACACCAGCATTCAGGTCTCATCTCTAACACAAGTAACTGCATAACCACAAGCAAGTTATTTAAACTTTCAGTGCCCCAGGCAACTCTCTCAGACTATTAAATTACACAGGAATTGCCAGTCTTCATTTGTGTGGAAGTAGTTTCTATGTAAATGAAGTTAAAGGTCTGGAATGTCCCCAAACACAACAACTGGAAAAGCATTTTTGTCACTGACTAGTAAAAATGTATTACATAAACTCATTTTCAGTTCATAGAATCGTAGAAGCAGAAACTTCAGCAGTAATCTAATTCAATCCCTAGTATATGAATCTTCTCTACAACATCCCTGAGTGCTTATCCAGCTGTTCCTTCCTTGATCTCCAGTGAAAGGCAGTATATACTATTTCCTAAACAGCATACTTCATTCTTGAACAACCATTATAAAATTGCATTCAGTAGAAATCTGCCCCTCTGCAACTTCAATGCATTGATGTTAGTTCTGTCCGTCCTTTTGGGACAAGCTAATTTTAAGCTGAATACCTCTTATACCCGACAGCACTTCAATATCTGTAGACTGCAACCATTTACATCCTCTTTTCTTCCCCAGCCTAAATGTCCTTGATTCCTTCAGCTCATCCTCATTTGGCATGATTCTGACCCTCAATATCTTGGGTTGTCTTCTTCTAGACCCACTCCTACCTTCGTGTCCACAATACTCCAGATGCTATACTTTTATTAAATGTACCTTATCTCATTAGCTACTTTGACCACCATGGCACATTGTTAACTCACACTTCATAATCATTTTGCAGACTGTCAAGACTGCCAAAACCACCTGGCTGTTCTCACATGAATGTGTGAAACCTGTACTTGCACATTTTTTTTAAAAAAACCCAATTGCGAGATTTTATATTCATTCTCATGAAATTTCATCTCATCAGACATGGACCACCATTCCAGATTGTTTGTGGTACTTTTAGGTTCTAATTCTTGTCTTCATCCAAAATATTTCTATCACATATAGTTTGTTTTCTTTAAAAACAGCAATCTGGAAAATTAACAACTAAGAATACACCCTGATCTTATGTTATTTACTAGTCATATTTAAGATGTTCTAATTTTAAAAACCTATCTTCACATTAATCGAAATATTAGACATTTTTTCACCCCAGTTAATTGCAAACCAAGAATAAGGCCTAATTTATCCAATACCTATTTATTAGGGGAAAAAAACCTATACATTTCAAAGTAACAGCTATGCTTCATTAAATGCCCAATTTTCCTTTATTTAAAACATAATTTGAAAATCATAATTTAGATGTTTTCCAGTCTTATTGAAGTAATTCAAAACAGGAAAAGTTACAAGGGTACTGTACAAATCATAAAGTATAATCAGACTTAAATTATTTTAAGAAATAAATAGACTTAAATTATTTCCAATAGTGAAGTGTTGTTTCTTTTTTTACTTTACTGGTATACAATATGGTACAACAGAATTCTTTAAGTGCCTTCTCCCTCAAGAGCCTTTAGCATGGTAATTAAAAATCCTGTTAAATGGATTCTCAGAACTACTAAATGTATATATTAGATGATATTAATTAATTTCAAGGTTTTTTCTCTCTTTATCCAATACAGCATCTCTCAACTGAGTGATCCCAAGCCAAACAATAGCTAAAGCTGTGCATGAAAAACATAGTTAAGTCTATATGCCACTGGCAACATATTTCTTTCTCCACTGCCCCATTACCTACTTTTCCATTCCCCTTCTTCTTCCTGGCAATATCTTAACTACTGCATAAGCTGAAACTTGTCAGTGGAATGACAGCAGAATGAGCAGTTTTCTCCTTTGCACTCCTTTCTACTCTTAAGCAAAGAGAACTCTTCTCTAAGAACTGCCGAGAACAGCATTTTCCAAACTAATTTGGCCACGGAACAGTTTTGGATTTGAAAATTTGCAAAGCTAGCCATAAATGTTAGCCCTGAGAGCCTGGAGGTATAGTGTATATGCCTGGGACAAAGGGAATTCAGTAGAAAGAGCAAAATAGAGGGACTATCACTTCCATATCAAAAGAAGACATCTGACACACATCATTTCATACTTCGTCTCAGAGAAGTGCCGTGAACATTTTTTTCCTCTTATTCGCCTGGGCTGGGGAAGTCTGTGAAATGCTGACCCCTTTCCAGGTTTCCACAGCTAACACCTTTGTGCAGCCACTGAACACAACTTGGGCATTGCAAGAATTGGCCGTGGCGGCCCTTCAGCTACAGCAGCAGCCTAACAATCCCCCACCCGACCTCCCCTCACTGCCAAGGACATACACAGGTGGCTTCTCCTAACTATCCCATCTCACTGCAGGGGGCCGGGAAGACCGTGGTCTCCGAATCCCCCTCCCCCGCCCCACCCCCACCCCCAGCACAGACAGCCCCACAGACACCCAGAGCATCCTTCGGCCGGGTGACTTTTGTGTCCCTGGCTCTTGAAAACGCCGCCTGGAGGCGTGTGCTTGGAGGGAGAGGAAAGGGGGGACCGGGGTCCTCGCACTTTCCTCAAACTGTCTCCGTTTCTCGTGACAAAGAGAGAGAGGGGGGCGGAGCTGAGCTCGGGCCCCGGGAGAGCAAGGCCGGGGACCGACGAGCATCCTCCAGGACTCCGCACCCAGCCGCCGCGGGGCGGCTCTTCCTTCAGCCGGGCTACCTAACCTCCGCCAGCCCGTGCCCGCAGGGTCAGGGGTGGATCCCCGGGGAAAGGGTCTGGAGAACCGCCGGGCTCCACCATGTTGTAACCCGAGACGCCGCATCAACAGGGAAGCGGACGAGCCGCGGGCCCGGGGCCCGTAACGAGGGGGCGGATCCCGGAGCCTCCACAGAGCCCGGCGGGGGGTCGGGGTGGGTGACGGGGAAAGGGCAGGAGGATGGGGGGGCGGGGGAGGCGACAGAGGCCGCCTTCCCGGGCGCGAACGTCCCCGCCGCCCCCCGGCTCCCTCAGCCCTGTGGCCGCCGGGAGCCCTGCAGGGCAACCAGGGAAGTCCGCGAAGCGCCGGAGCCGAGAGGGAGAAAATTCAAAACGAGTCTACTCAACCTCGTCTTGGCTCCGCGGCACCGCCATGGAGACCAGCGCACTGCGCAGGCGCGGCCCGCCCCGCCCTGCACCCGCACGCCGGCTCCACTATGCTCCTTAGTAGGTTGGGCCTCCTTGGCCACCGTCATGAGATTTACTTCGGGATCTGCCTTGACTTCCCTAAATTTGGGTTTGTGAAGAGGAAGCTGTAGCCCAGAAAAAGTCATGTCCCGTTCCCCTCTCCTCACCCTGCCCCTCCGCAGTGACTCCCAGGCTGGAAGTGTGATTGAGAAAGGGGGAGGCTTAATAACGTAATAAGACATTTGCTGATCTTACTCCATGTACAGAGCGAAGACGGACTACAACTCCCAGTCAGCATTGCGGCGAGTCTATGACAGATTGGCGGAGCTTCCTTCTGGGAGTTGTAGTATATGCGATTCCTGACTGAGTTCCTCTTCGAATACTTCCCTGATGATTTAAAATATATATACATATTTTTCAAAGACAGCTAAGTTGAGGGACCTAATATCTCTGTCTGATACATCAAGTCTGGAGCTAGTGGAAGAAACCAGCTAATTAAAAAAATTGTTGACGGCGTGGGGACTACACGCGGGCGCCTTTTAAGAAGAGACCTAACTAGTAGATCGTGGCCTGGTGGGATCGTCAGTCGAACTCTCTGGCCTGGGCCTCGGAGCATCCCCGGTAGCGCCGGGGCTGCAGCCACGTGGTTGGTGCCTGTCCCCGCTTTTGGCTGCCGCTGCTGCCGCGGTCAGAGGTGCCGGCCCGGGAAGTTTAGGAGAGAGCCCGGGTCGATCCGCACAGACCCAACCCCCGCCCCCACACACGCTGCAGCAGCGCCCACCACTCCTCGTTCCTTATTGTGGGCCGGGTCGTTCCCCGCCCCCCCCATCTCCCCCAGCCATGGCGCAGCTCCAGACTCGCTTCTTCACCGACAACAAAAAGTAAGTATCGAGCCCCCCCACTTTCTCCTCTGCCGGCGCCCCTGCCCCACTGAAGGAGTCCGGAGTGACGGCTAGAGGAGCGGGTGCCTGTCTCGGGTTGTTGAACTTGCTTTAACTTTTCATTTGGGGGAGGGGGGTGGTGAGTTTTCCGCGTCCCTTTTCTCCAGAAAAGCGCTTGGAGAGTAAAGTTGGGAGGAGGGGGCGGTGACCCCCCTCTGCCGCCCCCCGGGTGGGTCTGATTAGGAAGCTCCATTGCGCCTCGGTGGTGCACGAGAAGGCACCGAGCCCACCCCCGGACGGGAGCGTTCGGGGGCATCCCCCTTCGTGACTCGGCGTCAGTCTTTCTCTCCCCCCCCCCCAGCTGTATGCATTTGGAAGATAAATGTCACTTTGGGGCAGTTGTGATTGTTGAGAAGTTTCTCCCGTCAAGCCCCAATCCACCTTCCAGCCTTGTCCCTAGTCACCCCACGGCCGTCGAGCAGCTAAGTTGTCCTTCCGGAGACAAGGCTGAAGTGTTCCCACTTCCTTTAAGCAGGTTTTTAGCCCCGGTTAATTCCTTGCTCCCCTACCTCTCCATATATAGTGCGATTCTAGTCTGGATATTTCACTAACGTGCCTACTATGTGCAAGACGTTTTGCAAGGTGCTGGGAATACAGGGCCAAAAATGAAACTGCCCGCTCTAGTTCAGGAGGACCTCATCATCCCTTCCCTGGACTATTGCAGATTAGCCTGCTGGTGGGTCTGCCAGCCTCAACTCTCTCCCAGTCCACCCTCCATTCAGCCACTTAAAGTGATTTTCCGGTAACACTGGATCTATCTTTACTCAGTAAATTACGGTGCCTCCTTACTGCCTCCAGGATCAAATAGGAAATACTCAGTTTGGCAGTCAAAGCCCTTCATAACCTAGCCCCGTCCTGCCTTTGCATTATCTTCCACTCTACTGGGGGAGGCAGGGGTGGGGGGAGGTGGAGGGTGGGAAGAAGTGGCAGTAGAACTTGAAAGAAGATAAAGATTTTAAAAGGCCAGAAATAGGTAAGAGCAGGAGGGAAGTCCTCTGGAGAGGAGAGAATTTAGAGAAGAGCTTTCTGTTTTGGCTAGAAAGTAGAGTTCATGAATGGAAGTGACGTGAAATGAGGCTGGAAGAATAGGTTGGAGCCAGATTGTGGCATAACATCTTTGTGTCTTTTTTTTTTTTTTTGTATTGTTGTTTTGTTTTTAAATCTTTGCCTGTGTTACGGGGAGGATTTCTGGTGCCTTCCATTTCAGCCTTTCTTGTCCTATTCGTTAAGTTTAGAGTGGTCCCTATTTGACACTGTCAACCTCTAACTAGAATACCCTGCCCTCTTTAAATCCTACTGTTCCTTTAAAACTATCTGCTTAAATCCCATCTCCTCCTTGAAACCCTCCATGACCACTGGATTCCACAATGATCTCCCTCAAATGAGGTAACATTTGTAAAAAGCACTTAGCAATACCTTAAGCATAATAAGTACTTATTTGTAGTAGGTACTTAAATGCTTATTTCCTTTCCTTTCCTTTCTTTTTCCCCTTCCCTTTCATGACTTCTACATTCAACTTCTGGTACCAAGATTTTTAATGTATACGGTAAGACATTGGGCAGCTAGGTGGCACATTGGATAGAGTGCCAGGCCTGGGGTCAGGAGGACCTGAGTTCAAATCCAGCCTCAGACACTATGTGCCCCTGGCAAGTCATTTGACCCTTTTTGCCTCAGTTTCCTCCTCTGCAAAATGAACTAGAGAAGGAGATAGCAAACCACTCCAGGATCTTTGCCAAGAAAACCCCAAATGGAGTCAGACATGGCTGAAAATGACTACATGACAACAACAACAAAATGAGATATTATTATGATGCTAGTATGCTATACTCTAGGCATGTAATAGTCACATAGTTCTATTAGTGATGATTATTGATGATTAAATAAATGTGGCTCCACATTCACATAATTGAATCACTGATCCGGAACAGACATTGAACCTGCCCGCTCTGCTTCTAAATGGGCAGAGTTTTTCTGTATGACAAGCTCCTATATCTGCTCTGTGTAGCCTTCACCCATGACTTTTCATTCTGTCCCCTGGGAACAAGCAGAAGAAGTCTAATCTCTCTTTTATATGACAGCCCTTTCAAATACTTGAAGACAGCTATCATATTCCCTTCCCTCTGCCCACTCAGCCTTCTTACAGGATGAACATTCCTAGTTCTTTCAATTCATTGACCTTTGTGTGGCTTGAAGTCAAGGTTCTTTGGCATCCTAGATGCTGTCCTCTGGATGCTTTCCAGCTCATCACTGTCCTTCCCAAAATGTAGTGACCGGAACTGAACACACTATTCTAGATATGGTCTGACCTTGGTAAGTAATGGGACTGGTACCACCTTAGAACTGAATGCTGTCACTACTGCACCCAAAGGTCCTGTTAGCTTTCTTGTGATTTCTTGTTGCCTGTGGGATAAAATAGGAATTCCTCTATTTAGTTTTTAAAGCCCTGTATAAAGTGTCCCCAACCTGCCTTTTCAGCCTCACTGGACATCATTCTCTCTACTGCACTCTTCAAAGCAGCCAAACTGACCTTCTCTCTCTGTTACTCCCACGTGACACATCTCCATGCCTCTTCAATGGCTGTCTCCCATGCCTGGAATGCATGCCATCTTTACTTCTGCCTCTTAGAATTCCTCTCTTCCTTTAAGATCCCAAGCATCATCTTGTGCATGAAGCCTTTTCTGAGCCTCCTAGCCGCTAGTATTCTGCCCCGCCCAAACTATCTTGTATTTAACTACTTTGTGTATGTTTGTATTTATTAGCTATATTTTTTGTGTATATATTTTTATATGTATGTATTGCTTCCATTACATTCTAAGTTCATTGCAAGTAGATATTGTTTAATTTTTTGTACTTGTGTCGACATTGCCAGGCCCGTAGCAGGCACTTAATAAACACTTATCGATTGTTTGATATTATCTTGCAGCACATTAAAACTTTCAGATCTTTGTTAGATGACCTGCCTAGACATTCTTTTGGAACCAAAGTAAAAAGACCATACATTTTACTCTGTTAAACTTTATTTTATTCGGATTAGACTATCAATATATTTTAAAACCCCCGTAGGATTCATTGTGTTAGTTACCCTTCTCAGCTTTGTGAGTAGGACTTTCTGGATTGACCTGGTAAATTAAGTAGGTGTTTAGAAGCAGCAACATTTATGGTTGAATATGTGTTTATTCACCAATAAAAAGTTAGCCAAATAAATGACAATATACATGAAAATCTTTTAACTCCTGAATTGAAAGCCACTATTATCTAAACTGGAACCCTTTTTAATGGTACTGAAAAATAGAAATTTTGATGCTACCTTTCTGGGCATGGTAATTCTAGAATATTATGTATGATGAAATTAGCAAAGCAGATTTATCTCAGTTTGTCTTGTTCATGTAAAGAATAAGTATTCTCTCTTTTTATAGATATGCTGTAGACAATGTTCCCTTCTCTATCCCTGCGGCCTCTGAAATCTCTGATCTTAGTAACATTATCAATAAATTATTGGAAGCCAAAAATGGTGAGCATCTTTATTATCTAAAAGATCGAAAAAGAGTACTTACAACAGGTTATAATACAGTTACATTTTGTTGAATGTTTTGTTTTTCTTTAAAAATGTATACATTTTGTGACTGTAAAAATACAGTTACCAAGTGTGTTTGTTAGCCTATCAGGCTATTTTACAGACATATTTTGGAAGAAACAATGTAGTTTTCTGATAATATTTTCAGTTTAATTATCAGTTTATTAATGCTTTTGTAATTTTATACACTAGTTCACTATTTATGAATAAAGCATTTACCATTACAAATAATTATAAATTGTGGTTTAAACAATAATATTTCTGCCTGGAAACTTCTTATTATTTTGCTTTTCAGATATAGAGGAGGTATGCCCACTTTGAGTGACAATTGGACCTTACACTTGCATTCTTTATGATATCTGTAAAGTCCGGTAGTCCCACAAAGAACCTTTTTCTAAAAGTCCTAATCAAGTAGAAAGATTAGTGAGGTATATGACTTATTTTCTTTGACTCTCCTAAGTCATAGTAGCTACCTGCTGTAGCATCCCAAAGGTTAGGGTTGATAGTAATAATTTTTATTGGTTTTATGTGGTTTGCTGGTTTTATCTTTGTTATATCTTTACCAAAACAACAAATAAGCAACAGGGTTTTTGAGGTTTACTTTTTCTATCTTCCATGGTTTTTGCTCATGAATAATACAGTTGTTGAGGGGGAAAACAGCCATGGCAAGTAAAAATGGAACAAAGGTGAACTGAGGCACAGTTTTCTCCAGGGCAAAATAACAGTTTATTAACTGTGACTTGTATAGCTGTTAAGAAAATGGGTCAGATTGTCTCTCCATCTCCCATCCACACACTTGGGTTAGTGACCTTGATGGGGTTGAAGAGACCATGTTTATTGAGACCCCAAGGAGAGGTGGCAGGGGGTGAGAGGCAGGTGAGGTCAGGGTGCTGGTGGTGATGGGGGAGATCTGGGGTTGTTTTAAAAAAAAAACAACTTTCAGTTAGCTGAGGCTGGGGAAAGTGAACTGGCCTTCAAGTGTGGCTGAGCACACCCCTCTCTGACAAATCAGGAATGCTGTTTCTTTTATGGGCCTCAGATGCCTCTAGTAATCTTGGCTAGAAAGTCAGAACCACCCCAATCAGGATCTTCCCCAACTCTCTTACTTAACCTTCACCTTGGAGACCAAATCACCCTAAACTTTGACCTGAAGAGAGTAGGACAGGGGCTCAGTTCTTTGTTTACAGGTAAACTGAAGTAAGGGTCCTAGGTTAGCAAGCAAATGTCCTGGGGACTAGGATATATATATATATATATATTTTTTTTTTTTTTTTAGGACACATTATTTAACCACACCTTTGGTTGGGCTGATTTGTGTCTTTTGAGCTAGACTGAGAAATGGAGTTTGACAAAATGGGGAATAGGATAGAATACAGAGTAATTATTATTGTTCAGTTGTTTCTGATTATTAAATGATGTAGCATAATATTAATTTTCCTCATAGCAGCATGAGATGTTGTGAATAATTAAAGTATCAATCCCTGGGTTATTGTGTTGACAGAGTTAACTGGTCAGAACTTCATCTCATTGTCCATACTTCTGATTACTTTTTATTATTCATTTCCTTTTAAACACTGTTACTGTACACATTAATGACTTAGCCCCCAAGGAAAAATGTTCAAATATGAAATATGTTGACTTTTATTTTTTATTAATTTCAGAAGGCCACAAGTATGTGGAATTTGATTTCCTTATTAAGGGTCAGTTCCTGCGAATGCCCTTGATTAAGCATATGGAACAAGAGAACATCTCAACAGTAAGTTTAGATATTTTCCTCTGATTAGGCATTATTACATAATGACTTTATCTCCTTATTAACTTGTGTCATTAAGGTTTAATCATGTGTCACATTGTATCTAATTCTCATGATCATGCTGAAATTTGTAGGTATTTAATCAGGTTCTATCTGCATCTGATTCTCCTGTGGCATTTTGAGCCACTGCTTGAGTATTTATTGTATATGCTATTGTATATGCATCAGGCCTTGGGATGTCCTTTCAGCATCCAAATTTCCCTAGTTCGTTGCTTCTCCCCAGGAGACTTTTTCTAATTCTGACTTCTATCTCCTTGATTTTGGAATATCTTTAAGTGTTCAAATGAACAGAATCATACATTTTTAGGGTACCCAAAGGCAAAATGGAGGAACTGCTGAGATATTTTCAATACAAGTGTCTACAAAATAAATTTATATAATACAAATATATAAATACATACAATATAAATTTATACAAAATATATTCTTCACAGTATTTAATAGAAACTTATATGGACAGAAAGAAAGTTCATTTACCTTCATTTAGACATTTCAGTTACACTGCTTATAGCTGTGGTGTTCACTCGTTACTTATTATGCTTCCTATCATACTTCAGTATAAATTTTCTGATGCTCTATTTTTTTCAATTACTTCCAGGATGTGATATAGGCCCAAGCAAGAATGAAACTTAAATTTGTGTTGAAACTATTCAGTCTTTTGCATGACTCCAAATTGGATCTTTTCCCCTATTGGAAAGGATTCTAATGTTATCTGAAGGTGGCATGCCTTTGAGGTGCTGAAAAAGTTAGGAACATGTGTGTAGTTTGTTTTTTTTTTAAGTCACCTCTTTTCCTGATAAGCTTCTTGTTTCTTTGGGTGAATAGGAAGAAGTAGTGGAAATTGAGTATGTGGAGAAATATATCGCACCACAGCCTGAAGAATGTATAGTCCATGATGACTGGATCAGTTCAATTGAAGGAACAGTGGAATGGTATCGCCAGTTGTGTTACACCTTGAATTTCCTTCATTCTCTTATCAGATTTGCTGTGTTGCTACTCATTTTACTGAAGGTTTCTTGTTATTTATTTCTACATTTAGCTTGGCCATGTGTGTCTTTCTCTGGATCTTGGGTTTTCTTTTCTTTTTTTATATATGTAGTTGTATGTATGATTGTGTTAGAGAGAATTGAAGGCTTATATAATATTCATTGTTCCCATGTAGAGTTGGTAGTGTGACAGGTTTCAAGATTAGCCACCATCCTAGCCTGAGGTGGCCAAAGTGGTATACATGTGGTCTTGCTGTTGTATAAAAGTGAGGTTTTTGATTGCACTGCTTCCTTTATTGAGAGTGAAGAAAAGCCCGTCCTTGCTATGCACTGATTTTTTTAATTTTTATTTTTGTTTTTATGCTTTGATTTTAATAACTATATTTTGCGAGAACAAGTTTCCCTAGAGAGATAGCACTGAGCAGTGGATACGGAGCTGGCCGAGTAGTTAAGAAGGCCTGTGTTCCAGTCTAGCATCTGACATCTGACATCTGCTGGCTGTGTAACTTTGACCGGGTCAGCAGCTCTCTAAGACTCTTGACACTGCATACCAGCTGCTTTTCTGGATTGATAGAGGGAGTTTTCCTCACTTGGACTTCCCTATACCAGTGAAATTCCAGCTGTGGTTCAAAAAGGTTTCTGTAAAATCTCAAGTTGCTAAAACTAGGTTTATGTTGCTGCCCTTTCTTGTTGTGGAATGGTGCTGTTTGATCATGTCAGGCACAGGTGCAGTGCTTAGGCCAGTTAGCTCAGTTAGCTAAAGCCAGTGTTAAGAAAACTAAGGCCATAGGTCTAAGCTCTATGTAGTCCAGTTATCTAATGAGAAAAAAAAATATTTTAAAGAGGTAGACTTTTATTCTCCAGGCCGTTTTGAGAATGTTGATCATTGGAGTAGCAATCTAGTCCAGTCAGGACACGGTGTAGTATGGCCCAGGAAGCACTGGGTAAGAGTCCACGCTCTACCATTCACTACCAGGACACTTCCTCTGTAAAACGGAGGTGATGATATTAACACTAGCCACTGCACGCGTAGAGCTGCTGTGAGGATCCAGTTAGAGGAGTCGTAGAAAGTCTTCTGTTACTGGACAGGATTGTGTAAGAGAAGCTGTTACGATTAGTCACGTAAAAGAGTGAGTGGCTTGGGGCAAACTTGGGAGCGTGCGAAGTGGCACATACTTCCCTGGCAGTAGCTTAGTTTTGTCATCCTACGATACAAAGTGTATTATATTGTATAATTCACTGTTATATCTCAAATATTTAAACTGTCAGATTTGAAACTTTTTTCAGCCGTTGTCAGATTCTCCCAGAGTTTATGTGGCCGTACATAAGCACATGGGGGATTTGTTGAGATTTTAGGATTGGAGAAGAACCTTTGTTTTTCTCTGTAGGACTGCACTGAGAGTTGGGACACTCTTTTGTTTAGGCAGAGACATTCTTTAATGGTATCCAACGAGAGATGTGATCGAGACCATTCCATTCAGCAGGTGGCAATCAAACATGATGTCTTTGGGTCTCTTTTGGTGCATGGAAGCTTACAAGTCATAGGTTTCCTTGGGAAGCACTTGATTCAGAATGCCCACTTCTCTTTAAAATTTTCTGAGAATTGTGTGGATAGCCATAAATCAGAGGTATCAAACGCACAAGTGCTTGGGACGTATTGAACAGAATAAATAAAAATATCGACATTAAGAATTCAAGTTGCAGTTTGGTGAAGCATGTGAACGCTTCAGAGTAATGTTTGTTAAGGAAATATGAAATTTCAGTTGGAGGTTAGTGAAAGTAAAGCTGTAATTATTTTTTCTCATCCAAGTTCACAGAACCCCTCCAAAGTGACCCATGGATTCCTGATTAAGATTCCCTTACTTGAACATTCTCCTCAAGGATTTGTCCTAGGAAGCACACCAGCTTCAGAATGGGGGGAAATCATTTCTTTTTACATCCTTTAGGATCTTGACTGGCTCCTATGACAAGACATCTCGGATCTGGTCTCCAGAAGGAAAGTCTCTCATGACAATCGGTGGACATAGAGAAGTGGTAAAAGATGTTGCCTGGGTGAAGAAAGGTCAGTTCCTTTGTACTGTTCAAGAAGTACCAGGTGGGGTTGGAGTGGAAAAAAGACTCACAGCAGAAAAATAAATTTTGCATTTCCAGTATCCTGAATACTGTCAGTCAGAGAACATTTAGGAAGAAGGGTAAAGCAAGTAAATGGTCAGCAGTAAGTCCCTTGGTAAAAATCACCTGCTACATAGGTATTTTCAAGTTTCTATAATTATGTTATCATAGGAACAAAAGTTTCTTCTTTGCAGTCTAGGTTCAACTTTCTTCTTTCTGAAATTGGTCATACAGATGATCTTAGCTTTTAAAATTCATTCTAAAAGAAGGAAAATTCTTTGGCTCCAGAATATGCTGTAGAGCCTGCTGTTGCTTATCCTCGTTTTCGCTTTGCCACAGACAGTCCTTTGTGCCTGCTTCTCACTGCCTCCATGGATCAGACTATCCTCTTGTGGGAGTGGAACGTGGAGAGGAACAAAGTGAGAGCTCTGCACTGCTGTCGAGGCCATGCTGAGAGTGTGGAATCTGTCGCTGTCGACAGCACAGGGACTAAAGTAAGCCGCAGGTGGGTGGGTTGGGAGGGTGACCAACTGATGTCTGTACTGAGCTGCAGTACGAATGGCCTGCTCAGAATGTCAAAGGATTTTTTTCCCCTCTGACTTAAATAACCTTTTGTGGTTATGCCTATTAACTCCGTCGTTAGTGAGCAAGAACACCACCATCGTAAGGCAAAGACTATTCCTCTTCTAGTTAATGTAACAGTTGAAATTTGATGATGAAGTGGAGGTATATAACTTTTCAAATGGGACACTGAAATGATAAAGGTTATATGTATCTTTTTGTCTAGTTGAACTTATTAAGCACAGTCCTGACAGCACATCTGTCTCGTTTTGATTAAGGGAAAAATATTTCAGTTAATTAAATTGCTGGAATGGTATACCTGACTGTGTAGGGGAGGGATGTCAGCTAAAGGAGATAGTATACAACCTTCTCTTTTGTTGACGTGTTTCCATTGATTTAGTTTTGCAGTGGCTCTTGGGATAAGATGTTAAAGATCTGGTCTGCAGGTAAGTCGAATCTTTTACTCTTAATATTCATCCGGACGTCATACTAAGTCATTTTGAAAGGATAGGTACTTAGGCGCTTGTTGAATTGCAAATACATGTCATCCATTCTGGTGACCTAAGTGGACAAAAAAACTAAAAAATTTTAAATTACATGTCAGGGAACACTTGAGCTTTATGTCGTGAAGTGCTATTTATGTCAAGGTTTTCATTTTTCCTCAAAATTTTAGTTAGTTACTTTGTATTCCAGGAATGATCGAGCCCCTGTCAATTTAAAATAATATTACTTATTGAGTGCCTACTGTGTGTCTAGTATTATTCTAGGTGCCTTGGGAAAAACAAAAGAAGTATAGCAGCAGCTTTCTTTTCTGGAGGTCATCTATGTAACTGTCTTAACTGTCAAGGAGTCAGGAGTAACAAGAAATGTCCCTGAGCAACCAGAATGGGTTCCATGCCGTACAGGCCCATACGCTTCACTCAGGCCCACACTCTTTGACTTGTACATGAAATGTAACCACTCTGTGTCTTGAGGCAGCTGGCTAGGTAGTACGGTGGATAGAATGCTGAGCCCTGGGGTCAGAAAGACCTAAGTTTGAATCCAGCCTCGGTCAATTACTGGCTGTGTGAACCTGGGCAGGTCACTTAACCTTTGCCTCACTTATAAAATGGGGATAATGATAACAATGATAACCTCTCGGGGTTGTTGTAAAGATCAAATGAGATAAAACTTGCAAAGCACTTAGCTACAGCCTGGCACACAGTAGGTACTTAATAAATGCTTGTTTCCTTCCTTCCTTAAGATTTGCAAAGCACTTTAAAATCTTATGTCATTTTATCCTCAGCAAGTCTGGGCGGTAGGTGCTCTTGTGTACCCATTTTACAGATGAAGAAACTGAGGCAGGCATGTTAAATGACTTGCTCAAGGTCATATAGCTAGTAAGTCACTACACTTATTAGACTGGTAAGGCTGGATTCGAACTCGGGTCTTCCTGACTCCAGATTTAGTGCTTTAACCACTGCACCATCCAGCTGCCTAAGAAGAGGAAACACTAGAACAAGAGAGACTCTTCTCATGTGAGGTGATGGAGCAGTGCAGACTCTGTGGAACAGGAGTATTTCCTGGCCTGTTGTGGTACCATTGACTGATCCTCATTGGAAAGAGCATCCCGAATGGGAGACCTGTGACATTACTTAATTGCTCTGCTCCTCAGTTTCCTGGAGTTTTTTGTTTGTTTTGTCTTTTAAAGAAGGCCCCTGTCCCCAGCCACCTTGGCCTAGAGTGAAGATAAGGAAACATGGATTGTATTTAGAACTTTTGGGTGATGATCTGCCACCAGTCAAGAGAAGGGCTAGACTGAAATACTTCTTATTTTTCCTTATTTCTCTTTCATGCTGTTAGTAATGTGAAGGACACCAAGTGCGATTTCTTCTATTCAGATTTTTTTCCTAAATACTTTGGCTCTTTATTTGGCATTCTTTTAATTAGACTTTTTTGGTAGTAAGGAATTTGCATAATATTGTACCTTTCAGCAATTTGGAGTCTTTTTAGGGATTTCTTAATCACCAGTCAAAGACAGTTTTAGTATTTAAGTGTGTTTTAGTGCATTATAATTTTTGGAAGATGGATAATCTGCGTGTGTGTGTGTGTGTGTGTCTGTGTGTCTGTGTGTATACACGGAGAGTCCATAATCAGTAAGCATTTATTAAACGCCCACTTTGTGCCAAGAACTGCACTAAGCTCTAGGGATACAAAGACAAAACCAGTTCCCGCTCCCAGTCCGATGGGGAAGACAGGATAAACCACTGTGTACAGATAGGATATAGACAGGGCATATTGGAGATGGTATCAGAGGGAAGGCACTAATATCAAAGACGACTGGGGAAGGCTTCTTGTGGAGGTGGCACTTTTGTGGATGCTTGAATGAAGCCAGGAAAGTGAAGAGGCAGAAGTGAAGAGCGGTGAGAGATCTGGGCCTTGGGGGAGAGCCAGTGAAAATTCCTAGAATCAGGAGATGGAGTATCTTAGGTGAGGAACAGTGAGGAGGCCAGTGTCACTGGATTACAGAGTGCGTGGTGGACAGTAAGGACTGGAAACATAGGAAAGGGCCGGGTTGTGGAGGGCTTTAAAAGCCAAACAGAGGATTTTATGTCTGATTCTGGAGGCAATAGGTAGGTACTAGGTTTGAATGGAGAGATGTGATCAGACTTGGACTTTAGGAAGATCGATTTGATAGCTAAGTGGAGGATGGACTATAGTGGGGAGAGATCTGAAGCAGGAAGACCAATAGTCTAGGCATGAAGGGACAAAGGCCTGCCCTAGGGTAATGGAGTGTCAGAGGAGAGAAGGGGGCATGTACAAAAGATTTTAGGAAAGTAGAAACAACAGGACCTGGCAGCTTATTGTATCATACCCAGAATGCTGGCCTGGGTTACTGGATGATGGTGGTACCCTCGAAATAGGGAATAGGGAAGTTAGAAAGAAGAGAGAATTTGGGGGGTGGGGAGGAGAAAAGAACCAGAAAACACTATTTCCCAAAGATGTAGAGAATTTAAATCCAGAAATTTGACGTTTTGCTGAGGACTGTCTTTTAAAAAATATTTATCACTATAAATGCAACATGGTCACAATGGTTTTCCTTTCATCTGACCCTTGAGATTGGACCTTTCCTTTAAATAAAGAAAAATCATCCCACTGACACATGAGAATGTATTTGGGATTCACAGCTTTAGTCTCCACCTCTGCTGAGAGAGGAAAGGTGCATTATCCGTTGCTGAGGATTTAGATTGTGGCACAGTGGGATAGAGTGCAGGCCTTGAAGTAAATGAAGACCTGAGTTCAAATTCAGCCTTAGACACTTACTAGCTGTGTGATCCTGGGCAAGTCACTTAACCCAGTTTGCCCCAGTTCTCTCAGAAATCTGTAAAATGAGCTGGAGAAGCAAATGACAAACCACTGGCAGTATCTTTGCCAAGAAGACCCCAAGTAGGGTCATGAAGAGTCGGACACAACTGAACAACAACAACAAAAAAGTGGTTATAATTTATTATTGTCATTGTGAATATTGTTCTTTTGCTTCTGTTTCCTTCACTGCGTTGCTTCATACAAATCTTATGGTAGTTCTTAGAATGCCTCATATTTGTTTTTTGGTTTTTTTTACTGAGGCAATCGGGGTTAAGTGACTTGCCCAAGGTCACATAGCTAGTATGTGTCAAGTGTTTGGTCTAAGGCCGGATTTGAACTCAGGTCCTCCTGACTTCAGGGCTGGTGCTCTATCCACTGTGCCACCTAGCTGCCCCCTGTTATTTTCTTAAGAGAGCAATGATAATACATTTATATGCTACAGATTATTCAGGCATCCTTCAAACACCATGCATCTTTGCTCCACAGAGTGCTATGAATGTTTCATTATATAGGACCTCTCTATCCAGCGTTGGCCTATAACCGTGCTTTCTTCCTATAAATGACCTTCCAACTCAATCTGTATACTTAAAGATTTAAGTAAGTTAATATGGCCTATAAATTTTAAAAAAGACATCAAATCTTACTCTGTTTCAGTCCCTACAAATGAAGAAGATGAAATAGAAGATTCCACAAACAAGCCTAGAAAGAAACAGAGAACAGAGCAACTGGGATTAACAAGGGTAAGATTTTGTGAGAAACTGCTGTAATTTGGCATCAGATATGCTCAGCATTACACACAAACACATATATACGTATGTGTGTGTGTGTGTGTGTGTGTGTGTGTGTGTGTGTGTGTATATATTTTTTTTTTTAGGGCAAATTCATCTCTTTTATATTCTGGGTAGAATATGTTATAATGAGTATTTTATAACCCATCTTCCAAAATCCCTTCTTTCAGGAATCCTTTCTTTTGCTGTCTTTCCTAGAAACTTATACCAACATTTTTATACTTTATTGCCAAGAAAATATATTATAACACCATCCTATGGTATCTTTTATCAGAGATTCTTAGGGTCTTTCAGCCTTACTAAATTATAAGTACCCCTATATGAAATTTAAAACAAAACAACAAAAAAATTATTCCTGATTTACATATGGGTCGTTTGATTGCTAAGGTATTTTCCATGACTTTATCTTGTAGAGGAAAATGTAGAATAATTCTAGGTGTTCTGATTCTTTTAAACACCCATGCATACATGAATATGTGCTCATGCTTGAAGATTCACTCAGGATGCCATTCCTGCATGAGAAAAGCTGGTCGTGTCACTGAAATCACCAGAAATAAGTAGTCACTTGAGAATGCTTTGTTGTACTAGAATTTTGTTCCACCAAATAGTGTTTGAAATCATTTGTTGTCCATGGGCTAGATTATGGAAATCTTTTCATTATATCAAGATGTTTCTTGTGAAAATCATCGTTAGAAAATATGACCTGTGTCAGGGTTGTTAGCTGTGATTTTATGTGCTCTTCTTTCCTTTGATAGTTTTGTTAGGATGTACTTTTTTTTTTCCATTTTTCATATTTTCAGGTGCTTGTGATAAACTTGCCCTGAACTATCTGTACGTTCTCATTCTACTCTCTTTGTTACCAGTAGTTTATATCTTTAGAATAACTCACTAGGGTTAACACTGGAGCCTTCGGTATATGGCCAGGGCCTTATTAGTATCATTCTCAATAGCAGTGTTGCCAACTGGTCCAGATGGTGGCTTATATGAAACAGGTGAATGGTCTGTTTTAGCTACATTTAAAGATGTTTACTGAACTGTAGATGGGAAGATCTTATAGAGAAATTTGGCACCCATTCTAAGAAATAAGAAACCCCTCGATCATTCCATCTGGTAGAACAGAAATTAGAGCTGGAAATGCTTTCCTGTGTTTTGGATTCTGTGCCAGTGATAGATTACCTTGCTGCACGATTCATGTCCCTGATCAGGATCCCTAAGCAAAAAGATTTTCTGAGTGTTCTCTACAAAGAACACAGTTGCTTCTCTCTCCCTCCCACCCCTCTTTTTTTGGGCAAGTGTATAATTAGAACATTAGAGTCATAGAGCCTTTGAGCTGAAAGGGATCTTAGATATTAGTTTGCAGATGAGAAAACTAAGGTTTTCATTCTGTTTTGTAAGGCTTAAGTTTATGTCTACGTAAATTATTAATGCTTCTATACAAAAGCCTTTGACTAAATTTCTTGAATTACAGAGAAACTTGTCAGCAGAAAAGAAAGATTCTGTCTAGCTTTTTACTCAAGTTACATGTCAAAGATATAGCTCCTCATCTTCCTTTCAAACTCCTTTCCTCCTCTGAATTTCTCTATTTCAGTGAGTAATGCTGTCATATTACCAGTTAGTCCATGATTAAGTTTCATTCCTTCATGTAGTCTGATGCTAAGGAGTCATGGCATAACAAAATTTCATGGAATTTTCTAACTTGGTTCCTTCCTTATCAGCACCTCCCTACCTCTGCCACACTTTTAGGGCTTTCCCTGTTACCTTAATGACTTTTCATTAGGTCTTTTTTGAGGTAGCTCTAGATGAATGCTCTCTGGACATTAGTACATAAAGGACAGGATGGTTTTTCCCTCTTAACATCTTTCCATTTGGTACAGTGTTCAATCTAGTTCTGTGTAGTTGCTTAAGAGAATATTTTGATGATGAGAATATGGATGCTACTGTTTTATGTCTCTGTAATTGAATGGCAGGAATGGTGGAGAGGAAGAAACAATCACCTCGTATCTCTGAATGCGAACTACAATTAGGTACCTCATACCCTGGTTAAGCACCTGTCCTCATTATCTTTTAATTCCTTCTAGTTTGTGAGCCCATGTTAAAACCTTCATCCACAGCTTTTCCCCAAGACTTTCTCCTTTATTTTCTTTCCTGCTACAAAGGGTTACAGTCATTCTCTTCTTTATATTCAGTTATGATTTCCCTGCCTCTTGGGATAGAATTCCTTATGATCCCCTCATTTCTCACCTAATGAGAAGTCATTAAGGTAACAGGGAAAGCCCTAAAACTGTGGCAGAGGCAGGGAGGTGATGATAAGGAAGGAACCAAGTTAGAAAATTCCATGAAATTTTGTTATGCCATGACTCCATAGCATCAGACTATATGAAGGAATGAAACTTAATCATGGACTAACTGGTAATATGATGGCATTATTCACTGAAATATGAAATGCCTCTGTCCTCCCCCATTAGTTTGTAAGCTTCTTGAGGGCAGAGACTTTTCTTTTTTTGTATTTGTATCTGTAGCGCTTTGCACAATTCCTGACACTTAGTAGGCATTTAATTAATATTTAGTGACTGGAGATGATTTCTTTCTTAGGATTTCCTTTTACTTTTCTTGGGAATGTTTACCAGTTTCTTTTTTTTAATCCTCAACTTATAATTTCATTCTTTTCACTTTTATTTATTATCTTTTGATGTATGAAAGACAGAAATGACAAATATTAGGAAATCCTTGAAAGTAATAAGATTTTTACAAATTTTTCTGACTGTATTATTATACTTAGGAGTGTGGTAATTTATTCAAGATTTTAATTCACCCCCAAATTTTTTTCTGACCTAAATATGTATATACTTAAAATTTTTCTTTTAAAATTTTATTTGCCTCTTCCGATTATGCCTCCTCTCTTGTAAAAAAAAGTATAGTTAAGTAAAACAAACCCACCCATTGACCATGTCTGGCAGTTTATGCTTTATTCCACATCTATAGTATAGCCCAGGAGTTCTCAGAGTATGATCTGGGGACCCTGGGAGTCCCTAAGACCCTTACAAGGTCTTAGGCCAAGATCAAGACTATTATCACAATACAAAGATGTTTGAATTTTTAATCTGGTATATATGGCTAGGTAGGACCACATAAATAAAAGATTTTAGGGATGGGTGCTCAGTCATCTTCAAGAGTGTAAAGGAATCCTGAAACCACAAAATTTGAGGACCTCTGGTACAGCCCACAGCCTCTATACTGAAAGGAGGGAAGTTATGTTGTTCATCAAGATAGTTCACTTCATAGTTCTCTCTGAGGAACTTTAACAGTCAAAATTGAAAGGTACAGCAGAGATCTTCTAGTCCAAGTTCCCACCCAATGCAGGTAGCCCCTTTCCAACATCCTGATAGGTTGTGTTAAAGCTAAAGAGGTTAAAGATAAAGTGTTGTTTGGTAGCGCTCCTAAAAGTATGGTTTTTAGCAATAACTTGAAGTAGTTTGGTTTGCTTCCTTTATAGAATCAAAGAACTGGAGATCTATAAGAAATTTAGTTGTGTTAACATTTGTGATATACTAAAAAAAAAATAGACAATTTTTAGTTGGTGGACTGACGATTGTAACTCTGGAATGAAAAAAACCTTTTGGTCTTACTTTAATTTATAGACTCCTATCGTGACTTTGTCTGGCCATAATGATGCAATTTTCTCAGTGCTTTGGTCAGACACTGAAGAAATTTGCAGTGCATCGTGGGACCATACAATTAGAGTGTGGGATGTTGAAACTGGCAATATTAAATCAACTTTGGTGAGAGAGAATTTAAGTAGTTCTTAATGATTTTGGTATTAAGATAGCCAAGTAGTATAAAAAGGCCACTGGAGTCCCTTTTCAACGTTTTTCTTTCTCTTTTTTAGACTGGAAATAAAGCATTTAACTGTATCTCCTATTCCCCACTTTGTAAACGTTTAGCGTCTGGGAACTCTGATAGGCATATCAGGCTGTGGGATCCCCGAACTAAAGGTGAGCCTTTGCAAGCTACTGCAAATAACTTATGTGAGTGACAGACATTTTTCCTTATCGTTTACATATAAACTTACAAATATGGGTTTTATATAAAAACTTAAAATTTATCATGCTGACTTTTTTTACTGTTTACTAATTAAATCGTTTTTTATCTGTTTTCATTATTCAGATGGTTCCTTGGTGTTATTATCCTTAACCTCCCATAATAACTGGGTGACATCGGTAAAGTGGTCTCCCACACATGAACAGCAACTAATTTCAGGTTCCCTGGATAACGTGGTCAAGCTTTGGGATACAAGAAGGTAAAACTTATTTCTACGACCTGCTAAATAAGCGTCCCGATTATCCTAAGTAAGAGAGAAGTGAAGCACTTTGATGTTTCAGAGGCAAATGAGTAAAATGTTCTTGATGGTCCCTTTTGCAGAGAAATAGCTGCCACTAAAAACAAAGAACCGTCAAAGATATATTTTTCTCATATTACATAGTCCTCTTAAAATTAACATTTTAATATTTTCTCTTAAGCTAATATTAATCTGCATTATTTTTAAAAATACATGTGTGCAGCACATCTACGCAGGCTTCAAATTGATGTTATAGTTAATGTGCAGAGAAGAGAAAACTAGAGATTAGTGGAAATAGCCATAGCTAGTGTTTGTTTGATGTTCCCAAATTAAGTGAGATAATGAGTAGGCCTTAAATTAATAATCTCCTCCACGCTTTATCACAACCTCTATTATCTCTAGCAGGGGTTGGCAAACCAAGATCTTGGGCTTCCTGCTGCTGGTTTTTGTATAGCCCTTGAGGTTAGAATGTTTTTTACATTTTTAAGTAAAGTTTTAATTATATTTAAAAATGTAAATACTATTCTTTGCTCACATACAAAAACAGGCCCCCTCAGGCCTTCCTTTGCTCTGACCCCTGATCTAGAGATCATTCCCTGCTTAAACATGGGTCACCACCAGGGGCCTAGGTCAGGGTGGGAAGGAGAGGTAGAAATAAAGTCAAAACACACTGACACCCAGAAATGTTTGGCTCCTCTTGGATTTTAGAAATTGTGGCCTTCACACATGCCCCTTCTGTGTGGAATCAGTATTTACTATACCCTTTGTCCCAGCATGCTCTCTGCCAGCCAGAAACGATTGGCTGCTTAGCCTGACCATACTATCTTATATGATCCCACTGGCCTCCATCACTGTCTATACTTCCTGTCCCAGCACCAGCTTGTTTGAAGGATTGTGATGAGGAGGACAGAAGGATATAGCGCTTGTCCCGTCCTGTGCAGCCCAAGATTAATGGTCTCCTTTACCGCATCTTCCCAGATAGCCACAGACCCTTTGAACCTCTATTCTGATTGAATGTTTCTATCAACTGGTAATCTCCCTACACTGTAGGTAGCAAATGACCATTTCCTATTCTTCTCATCTCAGTGGTGCGTATTGCTATTTGCCAAGACAAAAAATTCCTTTCTCCTGCTGCCTTTCCCCCATCCAGATTAACTCTGCCACTCCCTAACTGTCCTCCAACTTCCCCTTCTACCATGTCCTGTAGACTCCCTCCCTCCACCCACTCTATTATTAGCAAACTTCCCTTCATCCTAGCTCTCTTCTTCTCACACTTTTCTGTCTTTTACACTCTGTGGAAATCTGGATTTCTCCAGAAGACGCCTCACCTTTGGCTACCTGCTTCACTATTAGTTGCTGTCTCTCTCATGCCTTACAACCCATTGAACCAGGAGGAGCAATTGGTATGCTTCTATTTTTTAATAATATTTTATTATTTTTTTCCCAATTACATGTAAAAACAATTTTTAACATTCGTTTTTAAAAATTTCTGAGTTTCAAATTCTCCCTCCCTCCTTACTCTCTCCCTCCCTTTTCCCCCTTCCTAAGATGGTAAGCAGTTTTATATAGTTCATACATGTGAAGTCATGCAAAACATTTCCATATTAGCCATGTTACAAAAGAAAATACAGTCCAAAAAACAACCACGAAAAAAATAAAGTGAAAAGTAGTATGCTTTGATCTGCATTCGACTCTTATCAGTTCTTTCTCTGAAGGTGGATATAGCATTTTTCATCATGAGTCCTTTGGAATTGTCTTTGATCATTGTATTGCTGGGAATAGCTAAATCATTCACAGTTGATCATCATATAATATTGCTGTTACTGTGTACAATGTTCTCCTGGTTTTGCTCACTTCATTTTGCATTAGTTCATATAAATCTTTCCAGATTTTTCTGAAATCAGCTTGCTCATCATTTCTTATAGCATAATAGTGTTCCATTATAATCATGTACTACAACTCATTCAGCCATTCCCTGACTGATGGGCGTCCCCTCAGTTTCTATTTCTTTGCCCCCAGAAAAAGAGTTGCTGTTAATATTTTTGTACAAAGAGGTCTTCCCTTCCTCCTCCCTCCTTTTTTTTTAATCTAGAGATACAGACTTAGTAGTGGTATTGCTGGATCAAAGGGTATGCATAGTTTTATAGCCCTCTGGGCATAGTTCCAAATTGTTTTCCAGAATGGTTGAATGAGTTCACAACTCCACCATCAGTGCATTAGTGTCCCAATTTCCCCACACCCCCTCCAGTATTTATCAGTTTCCAGTTGGTATGTTTCTTAAAGCAGCTGGTGGCTCATTGGATTGAGCACTGGCCCTGGAGTCAGGGACACCCAAGTACAAATGCAGCCTTAGATTCTTCCTAGCTGTGTGACCCAGGGCAAGTCACTTAAACTCTACCTGCCTCAGTTTCCTCAACTGTAAAATTGGGAACATACTAGCACCTCCCTCCCAGGGTTGTTATGAGGATCATGAGATAATGTAAATTGCTTTGTACAGTGCCTGGCATATAGTAGGTGCTTAATAAATGCTTATTCTTTTTCTCTCCCTTTCCCTTGCTTCCACTAACATTTTTCTGTGATGCCCACCTTTGCATTGTCATTGCTGTGATCTGTGAGCCTCTGGGGAGCTCTCCTTCCCTTCTCAAGGAGTTTTATTCCAAATTCACAGCTTCTGTCTCCACCCTAACCTTTGTTCTCATACTATTGGACTTAAATTTTCACAAAAATATCCCCTCACAAACCCTGGATTCTGAATTCATCAACTTTCTCAGCTCCCATAATCTGCAGCTCTGCTATACTTCATCTAACACCCCTCAAAGTTCACCACTAACCAAAACTGCCACCTCCCTAACCTTGAACTATGAAATTCCCCTCATTGATTATAATTTCTTGGCATTTAGCTCTAAGGCATCTCTCTAGTTGTGTTTTAGACACTTGCACATGGATGACATGTCAAATGTAACATGTCCAAAATTGCGTTAATTATCTTCTAAAGTAAAAACCCTCCCTTTCTCCTTTCCTGTTTCTGTTGAGGGCACCGTCCTTGCAGTTAACCTGGATTTGTCAGCTCCCAGTCATCCATCACCCGCTAATATCCAGTCAGTTACCACAGTCTGTCTGAGGTATCTTGGACCTGTTCCCTTTTATTTAGTTGCCTTCTATCCCCTTGAGGCTTTCATGCAGAGTTATTCTAATATCTTCCTGATTGTTAACATAACTCCGTTTCTAGTCTCATCCTCCATACAGCTGTTATCAAAATAATCTTCCTTCCTAAGGCACAGGTCTGATCATCTCACGCCCCTCCTCAGAAACTTTGAGTGCTTAGTTCCCTGTCATCTGCAAGAATACACATTCCTCGTATTTTAAGGGTTACAACAGTGTGGCTCAAACCTTCCTTTCAGCACATACCTCATGCTACTCAATTTCATAAATACTTCATTCTAGGTAGATTCTACTACTCAACTCCATGCCTGAAATGCCATCTCATATTTCCGTACATGCACATAAGCTATCCCTCATGCCTGAAATGGATTCCTACGTCATCTCTGCCTTTCAGAATCCTGTCTTCTTTCAAGGCTGAGCTCAGGTGCCACCTGATCTGCGGAGCCTTCCATCGTCTCCCCATTGTTCATGCTTTCTCCCTACTCACATTACCTTGTATTTATTTATTTTCATACATGTTGTATTTCCCCAGTAGAATGCAATATCTTTGCAAGTGGAGACTGTTTCAGTTTTGTTTTAGTCTTCCCAGCTTTGATCACAATAGTAGGGACTTAAAACATTTATTTAATTGATTTTCATTTTGTGTAGTAATACAAAATTAAATATACAAATTGAAAGATGACTAGCTATGAAGGCATATTTTTTTCTTCCTAAGAATATTATAATAATATTACAGATATAGTAAATTAGAGTATATTTAGGACTTCTTACATACCATTCAGTGCCTAGAATAAGAAGCATACCTGAAGGATGTAGCTCCATAGACTTTTTGTGTATATTTTAAAATGTTTTACTTGCTATCAAGTTCAAGTGTTGAAGTTTGTGTATATTTTAAAATGTTTTACTTGCTATCAAGTTCAAGTGTTGAAGTGTTCAAGAAGTTGAAAGTTCTTACTATATTTTTTTGCTTTATACATCTGTAGTCTTTTCATCTAATGACTCAGGAAAGAGTAAGACATGTGTTTTAACAAAGATTCAGAATTTAGAGATTATTCTGTTTCACAAGTTTGAGTGATTTTATTTGTGTGTGTGTGTAGACAGATATATTCTTTTATTTAATGATATAATAATGTAAATATTTATCAAGTTAATGTGACTTATGTCTTTTTCTAGTTGCAAGGCCCCCCTCTATGATTTGGCTGCTCATGAAGATAAAGTTCTATGTGTAGATTGGACAGAAGCAGGGGTAAGAAATCAACTAGTATATGAAAAGACAAAAACATTAAGTGATGAAATTCATTCAGTATTTGTATTGTTACCATAGACCGAGCAATTTCAGTTATTTCTGATAAACATTCTGAAAACTTTACCAGCAAAGTTCAGTATATGTCTCAATTCAAATAAGAAATGAATTACTTAATATTATTAATAATTTAACAAGAAAACTATTTCTATGCATTTTTTCCCTTTGGGATTACATAATTGTTATCTAAAATTTTAAAATAGTAAAAGTACAGTTAAATTCTACTAAATCATATTGGGGAAAAGTTATTCTCAGCAAAAAAAAATCAATTACCAAATATTTGAAGAAATGTGATTTCATTACTTCAAGTACGTCTACCAAATGCAGTTGCTAAAATAATCTTCCTTCAACAAGCAGTTAACTAACTTGCATTTGATGGCAACCATTTACTTATAAATATTGATCTAATATCCTTAAAATTCATGGTACTCTAAATATTCCACTTTCAATCTCATTCACTTTAATTCATTTCTTTGCAAACCTTTTCTTCATAGAAAGTTCAGAGGTACACATCAACACAGCTTAGATAGAATGATCACATTTTTAATAAAGGTTATAATGTATTAGTAATAGCATTGCAAATTGAGGTTGTGATTCGTTTGGTTATTAGTTCTTGTAACTTAAATCACTTGGTAAATACTGGTTTTCTTAATATAAAAATGTCATTTTGATTGGCTTATTTTCTACCATAAGTGAATTTTATTCATTTACGTTCTGTTTGTTTCTTTCATCAATCAGCTGCTATTGAGTGGAGGAGCCGACAATAAACTGTACTCCTACAAATATTCAGTCACTGCTTCAAATGCATGAAGATGGATGGTGATTCAACATCAGAGATTATCTATAAAATCATTGATTATATGACATAGATCTGAAGATCATTGTCTTCATTAGCCAGTCTTTTACAACAACCTGTATAAAATGGTTTTTGACTGTCATAACAGTCATTTTCATTGTGTTTAGTTTTTTTCCATTTTTCCTTTGTATTTATAATATACAAATCTAGGTATTTATAAAAAGTGAAATGTGACCAGTCTCTTCACTGTGTTCAGAACTTCCTGAATATTTTGGCTTTGAATAACATAAAAAAGTACTAGAAAGTTTATAATAAATATAAAGCAATTGACTTTATGGGTCCTGATTTATTCTGTGGGAAAAGTTTCTTCTTTGAACTCAAACTACTGGTAAATGCCATATTAAAAGGATGAATGAAATTAAAAAGAGAAAATGTTTTACTATTGTGCTTTTAATTAATTGGGTGATGTCCTTGTAACTCACTTTGTCATCCAGTGATCATGAGAAGGGATACTTATTTCCTCCAGATAGTAAATATCAGGTGTTTCAGACATAGATAATCATAAACATTGCTGGTGTTTAAGAAGGACTTATTTGAACATTCTAGCTGGATACCCTACTGCCAAGAAATGGTAAAAAATTGTCTGAAATATCATACAAATGGATCATAAGATGTCCTTCATTATCAGAATATAATCTCAAGGAAATGTACCTTGACTCTAGAATGCTCTTGCTTCTTCCCACTACATATGAATTAAGACTTGGTCCTTGCGTAAAATTAATTGCTGGAGGAAATTGCCAAACAGTACTTTGATTTATTCATAGCTATTTGTTTGGTGACCATCTTTTAATAAGACCACATATTCCATGTAATCTTCTAAAATAAAATGCTTCAATTAATTGTAGTGTGCAATTATCAAATAATAATATCAGGATAAGTCCATTTTTCTTCTCAGGACATTTTATTCCTTCATTTAGAGAGACGTATATTATTACTTGGTATTGAATAGCTTCTGCAAAGCCTTTGAGCTCAGTCTGCCTGGAATGTATAGTGCCCACAACAGTGTAATAATAAGGCTAGAAATGTAGGCTTGAGTCAGACTGTGGAAGACCTTTAAAATAAAAGGAGTTTGTACTTGATTTTAGAGGCAATAGGGGGCTGTTAAGGAGTTTTGAGCATAGGGATGATGTTTGGGATTTATACTTTTAAAAATTATTGTGTGGATGATCATTTGGAGATATGATAGAAAAGCCTAGAAGGAGGCCAATTAGGTTATTATTAAAGCACTCCAGGCAAGAGGTGAATTAGTGTAGTGTCTGTGTACACGGGAATATTGGGGAAGTAGAATCACAGGAATTAGATTAGATATGAGGGTTGAGAGAGAAGAATCCAAATGATTCAATTACCAATGACAGTGACTGGAATGATGATGGTGCCTTTAGAAGAAATAGGAAAATGTGGAGGAGAGGAAGATTTGGGGGACAGAGAATGAGTTCAGTTCTGGACATAAGAAATTTGAAGTGCCTTTAGGGACTTCAAGGGACAGGAGAATATGATGTCACAGCACCTGAGGGAAAGGAGACTGATAACCCAGGAAGAGAGGATGATGACCAATGTTCCAATAAAGGTGCTTTGCTAGATACTGTGGACAACACGTTTCTTCTAATAAGCCTGTAGTGTAGCAGGGAAGATGATACATATAATACAAGGTGGTATAGAAGGATCATCTAAATGATACCTATAAAAGTGCTACAGAAGATGTAAGGAGGGAGAGAGCAGGAAGGTAGGTGGTATGTGAACTAGATCATTCTGAGCATGGATGGGATTTTCAAAGGCAGAAGTGGGGAAAAACGGATTCTGGGGAAAGGAAAACAACATGAAACGCAGCATTGACAAATGTTGACAGAAAACACAAGGCATGCTTAAGGAATGGTGAGCAGTCTGGTTTTGCCAAAGGGTAAAGCTTGTATTAGGATAATAATGTAGTGTAGGAAGAGCCTTGGTTCAAAGTTTGAGTTTGTTACTTAGCCATGATGTCACAATTTCCTCATCTGTACAGTTGATAATATGTAAACTACCCACACCTAAGGGCAGTAAGGGACTGCCTAAGTGAGCTACTAGTAGAAGAGAGATTGTTAAGCTTTTATTCATCTTGATTACCCCATAAGCTATTAGGGTACTCAATAATCTTCTTTGCTTTAGATTCCAAAACCATTCATCATCTCCTTCACTAGAAGACTCCCATGAGCCCCTTCATCTACTCTCCTAGCTTTACCTTTTTCTTTTCCCCTGACTCTTCTTACTGCCCCTCCTACATCCTCAGGGCTCCCATATCATCTCCAAACCTTTTGAAGCAGTCACTGACCCTCCCATTCCCTTATGTGCCAAACTTGGAAAATAGCAAACATTCATTTTCCCCTTTCTTTTCACCTGCTCATTCCCCATGGCCATGCAATCTGCCTTCTACCCTCCTACTATTGAAACCCTCCAAGGTGGCCCATGACCTAATTGCTAAATGCTATGTTTCTCATTTAGTCTTTATCCCCCTTTACCTTTCTAGACCATTTAATAACCTGGATATCTCTCAGATTGTGATACTCTTCCTTCCTGGTTCTCTTGACTCTCATGGTTCTTCTTAGTCTCCTTTGCTAATCCCCATTCCAACTCTTGGTCCTTAGGTATAGACCAGTAGAGATTACAAAGAGAGAAGAGGTCTACACTTAAGGATCAATGATTAGAAGGGGAATGAGCAGGGATCTCTCTTCTGAAATGATCAATGGATGCTTTCCATTTCAATTTACCCTCTGGTTCTAGGATATCAGGACAGTTTTCCTTTATAATTTTTTGAAATATATCTAGGCTCTTTTTTGATCATAGCTTTCAGGTAGTCCAATAATTCTTAAATTATCTCTCTCTGATCTGTTTTCCAGGTCAGCTGTTTTTCCAACAAGAAATTTCATATTTTCTTCTATTTTTTCATTCTTTTGATTTTGTTTTATTGTTTCATGTTGTCTCATGGAGTCATTTGCTTCTACTTACCCAATTTTAATTTTTAAGGAATTATTTTCTTAAGTGAGCTTTTGTATCTCCTTTTCCATTTGGCCAATTCTACTTTTTTTTTTTTTTGGCTAGGCAATGGGGTTAAGTGATTTGCCCAGGGTCACACAGCTAGTAAGTGTTATATGTTTGAGGCTGGATTTGAACTCAGGTTTGCCTGACTCCAGGGTCAGTGCTCTATCCACTGTGCCACCTAGCTGCCCCTCCAATTCTACTTCTTATGGAGTTCTTTTCTTTGGTGAATTTTTATGTCTTTTCCCATTTGGCCAATTCTGATTTTTAAGGAGTTGTTCTCTTCGGTGAATTTTTGTGCCTCTTTTACTAAGCTGTTGACTATTTTTTCATGATTTTTTTGCATCACTCTCATTTCTTTTCCCACTTTTTCCTTTACCTCTCTTATCTGATTTTTAATATCCTTTTTGAGCTCTTCCAGGAAGTCTTTTTTTTTTTTTTTGCCTGTGACCAATTCACATTTTTCTTTGAGGCTCTGTATGTAGCTGCTTTGATTTCCTTGTCTTCTTCTGGGCTTATAGCTTCATCTTTCTTCACCATAGTAACTTTCTGTGGTCAGGTTCTTTTTTTGTTGTTTGCTCATTTTTCCAGCCTATTTCTTGACCACTTTGGAAGAACTGAACTCTTACAGACCCCCAGAAAACAGCAACAAAAAAAGCCTGAAACTTGGGATAGGGCCCCCTCTATAGTCCTACCCCTTTACAAAAAAAAGGGAGGTATGTTCCTGTATCTTCAGGTTCAACTTAGTTATTGTAATTATACAATACTAAGTAGAGTGATTTTGGGGGCAGGGTATTCTTTTTGTTTACATTGTTATAATTTACATTATGTTTTTTGCTTTCCTGGTTCTGCTTATTTCTCTTTCAATCAGTTCTCAGAGTCTTCCTATGTTTCCCTGTATTAAAGATCCCTAAAATCAGTTCTAAGAAACTTGGATGCTAGATTCTAAAGCACTCCAATAATAGTATTCTCTGTGTAGGCTTTATCCTCATACTTTCTGAGTGAAGTAAATGTGGTGCAAAGGGAAGAGTGCTAGATTAAAATTAGGGTTTTCCCAATTACTAATGTGACTTTGAGGAAGTTGTTTAACTTCTCTGGGTCTCAGTTCATCATTTGTAAAATAAGCGGGTTGGACTAGTTGACATCTTAAGTCCCTTCCAGCTCTAAATGTATCATCCCGCATCCTTCTTTGCATTGGCTTAATGGGTCTCATTTTCTCCTTCTGAGGAAGGATTACTAGACACCTCAATTTTTTTCCATTGCCTTCCAGTACCAAATATATGGAATTTGATGTTTTCTCTTTTTGCCTTGTAAACTGTACCCCATTAACAATAATTTCCAGTTTTTCAAGTTGGTGTAATAGGCAAAGATGAATCTATATTTCATTTTTCAATGTAATTCAGAAAAGCTTTCTAAGATTTAAAGTTAAAAATTGCTTTTGTTGGTTCACGGATTCCTAGTCACTGAATAGGCTAGACATCAAAAAGGAAAAACAAGTGTATTATCGTGCGCTTTCTGCATGTTCCTAGGGATTTTTTAAAACATGAACATAAAATTTGCCTTCCATCTTATCTTTTATGTGGAAAAAAAGTTCACTGGAAATTTGTTTCAATGCTACTTTAGTAATGTTTATTTGGACGTTACTAGAAAAAGCTTGAATTATTTAAAATTATTCTAATTAGTATGTAATTATTCTAATTAGTATGTAAAATAAATACAATAAAGTTAATATATTACCACTGGTACTTTACAGTATTTGCTGCATCATGCCCCCTCTTGGATTGTGAGTTGGCATTCTTAGCACATTGTCAATTATGCTTAACAACTTATCAAAATGTTGTTCCAGCATGATGACATGAGGAAGAAAGACATGAAAGTTTAAATTTATATATTGTAAAATAATATTTAATTACATTTTAAGAAAAACAACAGTGAAAAAACAAAACTAGTACCATCTGGGACTTTGTGGTAATACCACAGCAATCTGTTCACACTGCTAAAAAATCTCTTGATATGTTCTTGCTATGAAATTCACAGTAGGTTATCTTTCTTTTCTAAAATAAATAAAAGGGGAAGAATATTTTGAGAGCTATATATTACCACAATTTCTATTCTCATAGGAAAAATGTAAAACTTTTGGCTGTACAAGATATATGGAGTATCCAGGATTGTGGATTTAGAAGTCATCTGGTCAAACTTCTCATTTTATAAAGAACTGGCTTCCAGACAAGTGAAGTGACTTGAACACCTTTACATAGATAATAAATGGCAGAACTGGATGGAATATGAACTGAAGTCACCTGACTCCAAACCCAAGGCTGTTTTCTGCTTCTCTGTAGCTCTTGTTCTAGGAGATCTTCCCTGGGGAGAGGTAAAGTGATAGGCCCAGAGTCACAAAGTCAGTAATCAGAGGTGGTGGCAATTGAACCCTAGTCTAATCTGGGTCAGCACCCTATCCACCATGCCATGCGGCCTGTCTGAGTTTTCATCAGCCAAAAAACAATCTGTGCAAAAATTGTTGAGTTGGCTTGTGAAACTTTTAAAGAAAATTAAAAATTTTTTTAACGTGTATTAGCAGATAATATGACTATGGACAGGATAGTAGCCTCAACCTCCTCTGCTTCTCTTGTTCCACAGATGCGGAAAGAAGCACAAGAAGGTTCGCTGGCTTTTCACGTTCAGCACAGGAACAAAAGAAATACAACACCGCTTAATAAAGTGCAAAGTGAAGAAAAATATCTTCTTAGAATTATCTCCATCGTGGGTTCCCCT